AGAAATGCTTAAAATTGTTTCAGGAGCAGTAGCATTGGTCTTTGGTGCAACATGAAAACAAATTTCGGAAAAGAAAGATTAAACTAAACCGCTGTTATTTATAATAAAGCAATTTTCTTATAAAATGATATTTGGGTCACTAAATTCCAAATAAGTAACTGAATCGAAACATGCTGTCGTAAACTGTGGATCTTAGGCTTGATTCTTAATGGAGTCAGAGATAGACGCTTATGAGGATGACTGAAACAGTTACTCAGTGCTCTCAATGTTCCTGTAACTGATGGTGATAACATGTACGTTGAAATCAATCAAATCCCAAGAAGCAGAACGTATTATCAGGCATCAGTGTACAATGCAGAGATATAAATAAGTTGGGATCTGTAATTATCGGTTTCCGGCGTCTAGCTGAAAATAGAAAGACGTTTCTCTATAGAAACTCATATCTGCAAGCAATGTGTCCATGGATTGTCACTATGTCTACGTCAAACCACATTTCACCTGCATTCAAACCATTCTTCCTGCACTACACATAGTAAAACAGCATTAGACAACTGTAGCTACTTGTTTAAGTTAATTTGTATTTCCCGTTGAGTGACTATATTAGACTACAAAACTCGGTCACTGGTGACGCTTAGTTGATGTCTGTGGGTTAAAGTGACGTTGTCCAGTGGATGGTGACTTGCAGTGAAATCATGGATGTGCTTCTCTTCCTATTCTGGACTGATCAGTGGATACAACTTTGGTGTTTGAAACGATGGATGACGGAAACACCAGCGCATAGTTGAGATTGAAAGCACATCCAGATGACGAATCCTGAATAGGACCACACGCACATCCTGGAGTCCGTTGCTAGTCACTATTCACCAAATGGAAAAACGTAACTACTAGTTACTCCAGTTGACGATGGTCTACAATTACTTCAAATTAGCTGTCTCGCTTGTTGTAGATTTCATACCGAATCTCTTCGCCACTTACATAACGCTGTTGGAATAGCTTAAGTCCTTTTTCATCCTTCACCATTGTAGCGTGTGCTTTATGGAGGCAAAGGAAATCAAATATACTGTCGTCATCGTAACTGGCACGGAACACAGATTGGTTTCAACATTTAGTCAGGACTTGTGTATTCAAAGCCAATGGTGGAACTCGTATTCTGTCTGCCATTCATGTAAAGCAGCAACATCTCTATCTGTCTCAGGTGTTGTCGCTTACTGTCAGTGGTTTCTAATTTACCATATCAACCAGTCGCATTTATTATGTAGAATTCCCCCTAGCTACCCCTGATGTTATATATGGTGTCAAGTAGATGGCATAAAGCGATCTGAATACTACGGGTTTTCAAAAGTAACGGTGATGATATTATTCTGGGAACTCTGCAGTCAACTTATGGTATTAGGAAATTCAGTTACCAATTGTCAGTCACATCTCACCCTATTTCATATGATTAGTTGCTTTATTCAACTAGGTTAATTAAATGGAAAGCGAATGTAGTTGGATTAGTGGGAAATATTCCTCACAAGTGAATTGCATAGAACAAATAAAAATGGTTGATAATTAATGAAAACAAAACACGTAGTTCAGCGAAGAGTCTCTTTTCTGCGAATTCATTTTCTTAGCTGTACAATCGCAAATATATATGTGTTATTTTGTATGTATGTGTACATTAAGTTTGTCAAACAAAATTACAATTGGTTATGGTTATTTTAACTAAACAGGTGAAGATTGGTAATTGAAGTTACGTAATACAAAATCAGTCAAGAAAATTAGGTGTTAATGAAATTAGGGTAGTAACAAAGGTGATGAGTTGTCACAAAAAGTTGTTAAAAAGGATGAGTGAGTTTTACTCAGGATGCACATAAAGACAAAGTAGAGAATACGAAATTACGTAAGAGTTCTAAATGAATACAAGAATTATAAGCAATTAAAGAACAGGCAAACAAACAAAATTAAGTCGTCAAAAATCAACAAAGTTGTTGCCATGATAATAGAAGTGGTTGAGTAATTCTCTTTTGTATGCACATCTCCGGTTTTTCTATATGAATGGCCAGAGCTTCAGCGATACAAAGAAGACGGAACCGTATTGCTTTTGGTAGGTTATTCTTGACTCTGTAGATTACTTTGAAGCAGGAGGCGTTTGTTGAGATGGAATGATCAGTGTTAACCAGGTGTTCATTATCGCACTCCTCATAACACCACTATTGCCTTTTCACAACCATGCTGGATAGTTTTCTTGAATCCTCTTGGACAGGGTGCACGTCAAACGACCGATGTACCTGGCTCCACATCAGTAGGTGAACTGATATATGCACATAGAAGTGGTCAGATGCGGGATCTTGTCCTTGAGGCTTCTGCAGATCAGTGGGCGACTGGAGAACACTATTCTTAGCGTTGCTGCAAAGAATGTTCTTCTCAGAGATGATGTGGTCCTTCTCTTGAGAATGTCGCTTGTTAAATCTCCCTTGAAATCCAAGTTCATGTAGAGTTTCTTTTTAGGCGTAAGTGAAGTTTCATTTCTCCAAATTCTTGGTTTGATATTTTTGTCAATGAATCTTGGTGGGTATCCATTTTGGATGAAGATTTCTCTCAGAATATCTAATTCTGTTTCTAGAACGTCGGAACTACAGATGCGTCGGATGCGGGTGGCAAGTGATTAATTAAATTCTGCTTTTGTTGAATGGGTACCCAGCTATAGAAGCTTGTTAGTTGACCATTCCAAGTAGCTTTTCTATGGATCGATCTTCTTAAGCTCCCATCAGTTCTTCTTGTTAGTTCCACATCAAGAAAAATTTTTGATTCGTTTTCCATTTCAAGAGTGAATTTTATTGCTGGATGGCAACAGTTAAATATCTTCAGCAGAAGATTGGGGTCATTGTTGTTGTAACAAATAATGAATATGTCGTCTACGTGTCTTTTATACAGTCGTAAATTTTTAACAACTGTTTGTGACAACTCATCACCTTTGTTACTACCCTAATTTCATTAACACCTAATTTTCTTGACTGATTTTGTATTACGTAACTTCAATTACCAATCTTCACCTGTTTAGTTAAAATAACCATAACCAATTGTAATTTTGTTTGACAAACTTAATGTACACATACATACAAAATAACACATATATATTTGCGATTGTACAGTTGAGAAAATGAATTCGCAGAAAAGAGACTCTTCACTGAACTACGTGTTTTGTTTTCATTAATGCCTGGATGGTTGATAATTGATAAAGCTATTATTTCGACGAATTTTGGCAGCAAATTAATGAAGAACAAGAAAGTTGTATGCTAATTTGTGACTCCTGATTCTTTCTTCGTTTAATAATATTCTTATGCGACATAGCCAACTCACAAAATTATTTATGCTTTCTAACAGTTACTGTTATGCAGACTATCACTGCTCAAAACCTAATGGTTTTTTCATAACGTTCGTTATTATTAAGTGGTTACAGATAGTAATTATTTATTTTTGATTGGACACTAGCTAGTGTAATGTGTTTAGACCTGTGTTTACTGCAGACTGAATTCTATCAGTCAAGTTTGCAATGTGGCAACCATTCTAGGTGACTCGCCATCACATTACATTCAGAATTGTTGTTATTAGATAGTTGGAGACAATCGGCAGGAAGCCTTGGACCTAGGTTTCGTGCTAGTTGGGACTCCTCAGCAAGGAGGAACTCATATCTATTCTGAGATTCTAACCCGCGTCACCCAGTGCTGCAGTCAGAGACGTTACCACTGAGCTACCATATCGCGAACTTGACTGGTAGAATTCAGTCTGCGGTAAACGAAGGATTAGACACATGACACTAGTTAGTTTCCAATCAAAAGTATCTAATACAGTCCTACAGGAGGTCAATCGCGAGCCCGGATAACTCAGTGGTAACGTCTGACTGCAACGCTAGGTGACACATCTCAGCAGGGACATGAGTTCCTTCAAGATTGTAGATACGCCTTATTGACTAGTGATTGCCAACAAGCACGAAACCTAGATCCAAGGCTTTAATTCCAATTGCCTCCAGCAAGATAGCAATTATTATCTAGATCACTTATATTTCATAATGAAAAGTAAACATGTGGTGAGAGCAAGCTGCTAGCCGATTGGTAGACATTGATCTACGCTGATTGGTAGAAATTAATCTAGGCTGATTCAACAACCGATCACAGCTGACCTAGACGTGGACAAATATGATTCGCAGACAAGTGGCTCGCATTTCCGAGAAATATCGAAAACGAGAAAGCAGAAGACTGCGTTTGTTTGCAAACAACCAATCAGAAGACCGCCTTCTTTCTGCGGGCAGAAGCCTATTAATGTACGTAAAAAACATAAATACCTGTTGGTTTTCGTAATAAAACTGATCTGTTGCCTGGCCCTTGTCTTCTGTTGTTACAAACATAGTGCTTGTAAAAACCAATTCTCTCTGTTATGATTGAAGTTATCTGTGAGGTAGTACTCCTCGCGGTCTGATCAAGTTTCAGTAGATGATAACTAGAATATCACTGAAAGAATTCCAGCTAGGAGAAGACTTCAATCACAAAACCTGCAATCCAAGCTACAGATGTTATGCACTTCTGTAAAATAATGTTTATTCATCGTTCGAAATTCAGAACAGCCATCAATGAAATGAATTGAAAAAGCTATTCTGTAAGAAATGTGCAAGATATTGACTTGATGATTCAAAGTCTAGCGTGTAAATTCATTCACCAGCATATCAGTTTAGTATTTTTCCCCACAAAGTTTCCCATCCAACAGAACCTACTCAAGTTAACAGTTTGATTTGTACATATATTTCTCATCTGATGTCTTATTAACTATATTGTGAAGCCTAAAAGTTTTATATATTCTTACATTGCTTAAATACCTTGAATATAAGTGCATAGCGGCGTTTAGTTAAAACGCGATATGTCTATCTTTAATTCACATTATTCATCCAAAAGGGCTTAAAAGCAATAACATCAATAGTAATATAACTGTTCAGTTGCTAAATGTTATATTACTCGATGGAACATCATCAGCATATCATCAACTTCTAAGTATATTTACACGTCTACACATTTGAAAGCTTGACATAGAACAGATGACTGCCAATCTGTTTACCGAATCAACAGAATTTACAAAAACACATTTTGTTGCATTCTATCAAAGAGTAGCAGATTGGTGACAGATGCAGCGTCCCAAAGTTTCATCTTATGCGGGTTCACATTGATGCAATGTTGCAAAGTTCAGATGTATGATGTAGTACTCCTTTTTGGTATCTTTTTTCCCTTGGAAACCAATCAAAGACAAATACATGATAAGGATAGTAAGATAAAAGAAACGTACATTTATGTACAAGATAGAGAGCATAGGTGAGAGAACAAATTGTGAAAAGTGAATGATAACGATGGCGGTGGAGGGGTGGAGAGGGTTGGTGTGATCATTATGTAAAGAAAAAGTACAAAGCTCATGGAATGATTATGAAAAAGAAGTAAAGGAGGGAAACAACTTCTGTTTTTTTTTTCATCTTAAACTAGTAATTTTCAGGTGCTTTTAGTTTTGCACAAGCACACAGACAAGGTATGCTTGATTATGATGAAAATGACTGACCAATTAAAGTGCTGAATGTGAAAAAATAAAACAACAACAGCAGTTCGCTGAAGGATAATGATCTCCATTATATAAAAAGGAAATAAAATCGTTAGACGAAAAAATAGTAATAATAATTTGGGAGAAATAAAATGTTTGAAACAACGAAATATGTTTATCATTTCTCTGGAGATTAGAAGAGAAATGAATAAATTGCACTTGTTTATTTGGAATAAGTTTGATTGAGCATATTGCACAGTTCATATGGTAAGTGCATCTTATGAATAACTCGTCCCAAATACGGATGCCTAAAATGAAGATTAAAGAAGTATATGAGAAAAGAATGGAGGAGATTACCGAAAATAACATATATCCTTATTAATATCAAAGCCAAGATCAACACACAAGTTATAGTTTGTTTCCAAGTTAATGTTGCATTCCATGTTGAATTCGTCGGACTCTCCAAAGATGTATAAGGATTAACGTGAAGTTGTTTTGGTTGGCGGTGACTAACAGTGGAATCCAGTATGCACATTTCGTCCTACTTGGGGGACTCGTCAGGTAGACGTACTTGAATTCCCAGTGAGTGATGGTGTTCGCACTGAAACTCGTTCCAAACGTCGTAGCATTATCTGCTAGCCCAGAAAGTGACCAGTGGGAATACAAATACTTTCAGCAGATGAGTCCCAGTCGAGACGACAAGCGTATTCTGAATTCTACTGCTAGTCATCACCAGCGAAAATAACTTCAAGTTAGAAAACTATTATTATTATCTTTTGTTCATTCATTTATCAGCATATGATAGGATGTTATGTTTTCAGGAATTAGACTCATCGACAATCATGGAGTATTCGACTTGAACATTTTAAACAAACTGTAGGATTTCGTTGAAACTAAGGAGCACGTGTTCTTCTCAAACATTCTTCATTTGTAGCTTAACCACTTTTAATTGTTATCCAGTTAGCCGATTATTCGTCTAATCGGGTAAGATGGTTGTATATTTGTGTTATTCAGACACATTTTGTTGGTGAAATGGCCTTATTGATGATAAAAGTAACTCTTGAAAATTAATATGATGCACACGAGTGACTGAGTACAGGACAGAGTTCTAGAAGTTCTAGTGAGAATTCTTGATCAGTTGGGGTCCACCAGGTCGGATGAGACGACAAATACTCACCGATGACATTGGACGGCGGTGGTACTATAATTCGCGAATCGATAAGATTTAGAGTTTATGGGCCATTGAATTTCGTCCCAGTGGAGGAATAAGCAACTGGCTTGCCATGTAGCCAGAAGGTTCTGTGTTTTCGTTCCTCAGTGGTGTAATTGGTGCACACTGCTGAACAGCTCCAAACTAGGGCGATGCAGTACTGATATCAATCCGTGACCAAACTTGGAATAGTTTTTGCTAGTATCGAAGCCCAAAGGAGGTGTTAATATTGTGAAGTGGTTCAGTAGCATACTGTCGAATAAAAAGTTATGACAGATACCTATTTTTTGGTATAGTCATTAACACTTAGTGATTGTTCAAACTTTGACAGCTAGAGAACAATTACATCTAGAGTAATGATAACTGTGAATCTGACCTAGAAAGCGTTTTTCATGATCATAAACAATAAAGCCAGCAACGGATAAAACCCGCTAAACTTTTTACTTTATATATAGGAGCATTAAGTTAGCTAAGATGAGAATAATGGATTAAAAAAATTTACTTAAAACAGTGAGAACCGAAAAGGGATGAAAAAGCTTTATTTTGAAAGATTCTGGAAGACTTCACTAATCTTCTCCCACATGTTAATCTTTAGTTTCCTTACATTCATTGTCTTCCTCTACTTTGTTTTATACTTTCTCAAAGTGTATCTGCATGAGGTCATGCACTTTTGTGTAAATTTATACGCTTATATGCCAGTCAGTTAATCAATCAAATCGTGCGTATTATTTATTGTCTGGTTCATATTGACATCAATCCATTTTAATCTGTTAATATTACTTGCATCAATAATATCTCTTTAACCATTATCATCAATTTTTTCGATTTATACTAATACTAATGATGATGATGTGATCATTAATTTCATTGACTATTTGGTGAAAGTTTTACACTATCTGTGTTATCACCAAAATAAATTTGTTCTTAAATTTCTTGATTAATATTCATGTCATATAGACCCATTTTTAACTACTAATCATTATGCTTATATGTTAACATAAATTATCTGAATAACATTTAAGTTCCATAGGCTTATCTTATGATTAGCATTTTTAAGCCGATAGCGAAATGATATATATGTTTAAGTAATATACAATTTAAGAATAGAAATATAACATTAGGTAGAAAAGAATAAGAAACTCAGCAAGGATATCTTTCCGGCGATTTCATCCTCAAAAGCTGTACATTCAACAGAGTAAAGAAGCGAGATAAAAGATAGGACTTCAGGTGAACATATAGAAAACAGAGATGATGAAGATTCCTGGGCAACACCACCAACAGCAACAACAACAGACAACGATCAGCATAAATGGAAGGGACCTGAAAGAAACAACCTCTTTTACCTACCCACAAAGGAAGCATCGTTTCAACTACAGGCGGAACTGACGAGGATATCAAAGCAAGAATCGGAAAAGCAAGACAAGCTTTCCCTACTCTCAAGTCTGTGTGGAGGTCAACAACACTCAGCATCAAAAATAAGATCCGGATTTTCAACTCCAATGTGTAGTCAGTCAGTGCTACTATACGGATCAGAGACTTGCACTGCGCGTCATAAAGAGCATCTCAAACAAACTACAGACCTTCATTAACAGCTACCTGTCTTCGTTCAATACTCAAGATCAGATGGCCAGAAAAGATCAGCAACAGGGAACTTTGGGAACGAACCAACCAGGAACCGATTGTGAAACAAATAGGCAGGAAGAAATGGAGATGGATTGGCCATACTCTGAGGAAACCATCAAGTGACGTCACTAGACAAACCCTCGAGTGGAACCCGAAAGGGAAGCGGAGAGTTGGTCGTCAGTGCAAGGGTGACTTGGAGGAGGTCATGTGAAGAGGAGATGAAAACGTATGGGCAGACTTGGAGCCAGGTGAAGACTCTAGCAGAGAACCGAACTCAATGGAGACTCACGGCTGAAGCCCTATGTTCCTCTAGGAATTAAAGGAAACAATAATAATAATATAATAAAGAAGCGAGATAAAAGGTGAGTATAACTGGAATAATAGTTTTTGTAACTGAAGATGAAAAAAAATAGAAGGGATGAGAAAAAAACGCAACTAAGAAACCAAACAGAATCAGATCCATGGTATATAAAGACGATGAACTAGTTTCTTCTGAACACAATTCCGGCTGTTCCAATGCATTTTGTAGGGACTTCTGAAGTAGAAAAAGTAGAAAACACACTAGTTTTGATAAATTTCTGTTCACTCTGAATGATGAGTCCATTGTTTTCCTCTCTATGCACATCCCGATTACACTTGTCCTCGTTAGAAAAAAAATTATATCACGTATTACGCAATGACTTCCTAATCCTATATAATTTTGTTTCTACGCCCCCTGGTGCTCGATGTTCATACCTTCAAACTTTCATATCAAGTTGAAAATTATAACCTTTAACCTCCCTTTTTAGTATATTGAAATGAATAATAATAATTGTAATAACTATGTGAACTTGTGTGCAGAAAAATGTGAATGTACAGCTTCTGAGGGTAAAATCATCAAAAAGATAATCTTTGCTGAGCCTCCTGCTCTTTTTTCTCTGAAAATATAACACATACATATACTGACATTGTAGACAGCTACTGCAAATGAAATTGTCCGTTACAACAAAAGACAAGTCTTAAGACTAAGGAGGAAGTGTAGAGTACTTACAAGTCAACTTATCAGCGTCAGTGGCACGCATAGCTGCAGAATGTTAGCCAACCACGCCTCATGTGGGATTCGATCCCCGGTAAACGCACTCCTATACGTCGGAAAGCTATTAATAAAACTGGTAAAGAGGGAAGGTTGGGCATGAGGCTAGCAATTCCATCCCGTAAAAATAAACATCACTGCTACCGAAACTACAAGCCTCTAGCTTGAAGCCCTTTGTTCCACTGGGAACGTAAAGGAGTACAAAAAAGTCAAGTTATGACAATTTGTTTCATGAGAAGTTTTCTTTTCATAATAAAGATTTGAGTCAGTTAATTTGTTCATGAAATGCCTTCGCTCAATACTCAAGATCAAATGGCCGGAGAGGATCAGCAACAAAGATCTCTGGGAGCGAACCAACCAGGAACCGATTGTGAAACAAATAGGCAGGAAGAAATGGAGATGGATTGGACACACTCTGAGGAAACCAGCAAGTGACATCACTAGACAAGCCCTCGAGTGGAACCCGAAAGGGAAGCTACGAGTTGGTGGTCCAAGGGTGACCTGGAGGAGATCATGTGAAGAGGAATTGAAAGCGTGCGGGCAGACTTGGAGCCAGGTGAAGACTCTAGCAGAGAACCGAACGCAATGGAGACGCATGGCTGAAGCCCTATGTTCCTCTAGGAATTAAAGGAAATAATAATAATAATTTGTTCATGTATATAAAAGAAAGAGTACTACTACTACTTGACTCACATGACTACATTTACAATGATTGGACGTGGTAAATAAGTGAAAATATTTTTTAATCTATGCAGAGTTAAAGAATTTCGCTGAGTAATAGGTATTCCATTGAATGAAAGGATTGTAGATTTTTGACGTTCACATAGACCAAGGGAATGAATATTACTGTTACTTTGATAAGTACATAGTAAAAATTGTCCAATAAATTTTAATTGAGCTTTTGTTAAACTACACAACCAATTCCATAAATTGAATATTTCTTCTTTAGAATGAAAATTACCCTTTGAAGAGAGAGGGAGAAAGAGAATAAAAAACATTAGTGAGATAATAAACAAACAAACAAACATACAAGAGTACGAATAAGAATTGAAAATCCAAAAATCTACGTTTAAAAATACTATAGTTGCAGGATAGCATATTCTGTTGACCGACTGACTGAAGTGGGTATAAACCATTCACATCAAAAATACTATACCCCCTTCTTTCAACTGTTGTGATAATGAAGTTTTTAATGTTAATAATAGTAATGGTATTATTCTGGACAAAATGTATAGAACTCTCAGCATTATGTTTTGTCTTCATCCAGGATCTAAATTACAAAACACATTTATATCATGTGGCGCAATGTTGTTCGATCTAAAGCATAAACTAATCCCTTATAGCGTCTTTGCTTTCGTCTCCGAGAAAACCAATTAAAACTGTGCATCATTAGATTTCGCGACCCATAGCCATAACTGAATAGTTAAAAGAGAAAATTTTAAACAGTGTGTTGGATTGAAATTCAGGTAGCCCAGTGATTTAAGCACACTGCTAAATAGACTCGAATTCGCCATCTCTGCTCTATTAGATCCGTAAAGTATACATTGGGCTAAGCAGCTTAACCACAGGCTGAATACAAATCTAATTTGGTTAAACAGATTTCCCTTATATAGTTATGTGTATACGGGAAATGCATCAAACTGCATTGTATATCAGTAGTTGCTGCGCCAGGCATTTTGGTTCAAAAGCTAGTGGTAGAAAAGAAGTAAATGATTAATTCGTTGTACTGAAACTATGAAGAATAATTGTGTCATTATAACACAATATATTAATGCAACGCAAAAATAGTGTAAGCCTGAGGACCAAACAGTTATAGGCAGTATGTGCGGAAATTGTCACACCCAAGATGATCTATTCAAGCTCAAATCTTAATAAGGTTTTTTTCCACAATAGTTTCGTGGGTTGTTCGGAAAGGAACAAACCAATTCCATATTATTTTATTCCAAACACGTTATCAGCAAAACAGTTGAAACCCTGAATGAATTGGATATTTCTGAAGATTTAAAACCAGACAACTGATGAATATGATCAAATGAAATACCAGGAATCGCTGATCTTAAAAGAACACAGTCAATTCCCTCTGAAGTCACACTGAAAGTAATGACCTGTAGAATATCATTGAAAACTTATCAAAAAACTCAATGTCGTATATACTTCCATGTTGGTATGTATTTCCTGAACTACAAATATTTATGACGCCACATTTTTTTAGTTAAAGAAATACACTTGACAATAATAATATTATGGAGAAAAATGAGGATATTCAAGCTTATATATAGTTCAGAGACGTCGTGAGCATCACGAATAGCATTTCAAATAAGCTGCCGACTTTTATCAACAGCTACCTTCGTTCAATGCTGAATATCAGATCGCAGTACAGAACTCTGGTAACAAACCAATCAACAACCTACCACTCAATAAATATGCAGAAGTAAATGCTGACAAATAGGACACATTTGCAGAGGATAACCTTGAGTGACAGCAAATGTTGGGCTTTTGGATGGAACTATAATGGGGAACGACGAGATGGATATTTGAGGGTGACACAAAAGAGGTCGTGTTAGGAGATGACAGCTAATGGGTAATCGTAGGGTCAGCTAAAAAGACTGCAGACAGCAAAGTGAAATGGTCATGTGCTGCTGAAACCCTATGTTCCGCCCGGAACCCAGAGGAACAATAATAATATTAATTATTATTCTACCATTGTTTTGTACGAGATCACACTTCTCGAAATGCTTAAATTTGTTAATTGTGCACAATACAATCAGTCAGTTCAGTTTATCTGGGATTTTATGTTGAAACCAAGTACAACAAAGGCAACTATCTGACTATTAGGATAAACCTATGACAAACTGTTTTTACGGACAGGTTAACAATATCTGCAAGCATGAGGAAATCTTAGGTCATTTTAATGAACAGGCCTAAATTAATTTGTGGAAAAGAAAAAAGTAATAACATTGACATTATGTATTGTTTTATTCCTTGAGATTCGTGTAGAACACAGAGATTCAGTCCTTGAAGTCTAAGTAGAGGTGGTGTTATTTTACGGGGGTAGAATCGCTACCCCATCCACAACTTACCCTTTTTTTCGGGTCAGTAGATTACGCGAGGTTTAGGAGTGTGTTAGCCAGGAATCGAACTCTGACCATGTGTATGATTGGCAGTCATTCTGCTATTGACGCACAACGACGCACACAATACACACTTATAAAATAATAAGCAAAATTAACAGAAAAAAGAGAAAGAAAAAAAGTCTACTTACAAGAGACAAGCTCAAGAGTTTTTTAATAATTTCTGTAGAATATGAACAATAATTATCTACATAATAAAATGCAAAATGAAAATTTTTTTTCCATTGATTAAATATATCGACTTTTATATCTGTATCGAATAGAAGTGGTTCAAGAGACGATGGTGTACAACACGCTGTATGTAATATTAATGTTTCATTCGACCAATTTGACAGCATATTTGAATTTTGTGGATTCATCAGAAACAGCATTGCACTAATAAGTTGATTCAATTTATCAAGTAGATGGATTTTTTCAATTGATCGGAATTTAAAGAGTTTGTTGAACAGATTCTTGACTAGTGTTATGTACTAAAAACAAGGGGGAAATATATATAAAAAGAAAAAAGGTAAAACTAACTTCTGTGAATTAAGTGAGAAAGAAACTGAAATAGCAGTTTGTGTAAATAAAAATACTAAATAGAAAATAACAAGCAACTGGCTGTTTAATCAGTGGACTACTTGAAAAAAAATTAAAATTCATATGCCATTGGATCGCATCCCAGTGCAGTGGCAGGGTGGTGTGTCTACGAGCTCACTTAGTGACCTGAAGATCCTGGTTGAGTGCGTACTGCTGAAAATTCACAAACCATGACAAATAATAGGTATTAAATATTGTGTGCAACATTTGATCATGGTACATATTGATTGTCATTCAAAATGGCGTGATTGTACAGTAATCTCAAAACCTATTGATGCATTATCGGAATCTTCAGAAAAGCACTTATCAGTAAATGGTATCGATGAAAATGAGAAATAATTATAATGATAACAAAAGTCATGATAATAAGGTTTATCCAGGTGGCGATAAGAATAACAAAGGTAGTAATATATGTATATGTAGACAATTCAATAAATAAATTAGGTTAAATCTTAAAAGTTACGTAATACTAAAAGTGAAGTGGACAGATAATCAGAGTTTAAATAAATATCATAAAAGTATGAAGGAGATGGAAAATAAGAAAGGGTGGGAGGGTTTTGATTAGAATTCACCTAGGCAAGCAAGGGAGAGACAAACGTAGAACAAACTTCTTTTGTGTGCACAGATTAGGATTGTTCTCTCGAATTCCCATAACTTCGGCTATGCGTAGAAGGCGGGTTCGAAATCCATTCGAAAGGCTTGGTGGAATGCGATAGATAACTTTGAAGGCATTGCTTCTGTCCACTTGGTGACGGCTATCAATCAAATGAGACAAAATAAAACTTATTATAGATTTCACTTGTCCTTTCCCGAACCATGAAGGAGGATGCTCATTAAGACGTTTGTCCAACAGTCTAGTTGTTCGCCCTATATAGCTTTCTCCGCAGGAGCAGCTAAATTTGATATTTATTTAAACTCCGATTATCTGTCCACCTCACCTTTAGTATTACGTGACTTTTAAGATTTGACCTAATTTATTTATTGAATTGTCTACATATACACATGTTACTACCCTCGTTATTGTTATTGCTACCTACCTAGACCTTATTATCATTATTTTGTTATCATTATAATCATCGTTATTAAAGATGTTCAAAACATTTACCACATTATTACTATTATTGTCATGTCTGTCCTGTACGCATAAATAATAAAGTAAGATGATGATAATCGGCAATCAGTATTTACAATTATTATCACGTCTCCATTGTTCTGGGTTCTCTGCTATTATTCTGCTATTATTATATTTAAAGATTTGAAATGTGTGTATCTGTCTGCGTTATCACACACTGACTTAAGAGATCACCATGGTAACAAATTTCGGAAAAAAGGAAAGCATTAATGCAGAAATATTACATAACTTCACGAATCTCCAACTACTGTGCATCAACCAAGGTAACAAACAATATTACTTATCGTACTTTTTACTTAAGGATTCCATAGATGTTAAGAAAAGATGATGACAGCCATAAAGTGCCACATTTTATAAAAAACAGCGGAAAAAATACTACATAAAGGCTGAATTTACGCTTTACGGAAAAAAGTGCCAAAAATCAAATATATAGATCAACAGGTGAAAATCAAATTTTTGAAGGAACAAGTAAAAACAAACACGAAAAATAGACCTCCAATATCAAGAAGATCTACAATTCGTTGTGTTTAGTAAGCAGTATATTTCTTTTACTAGAATTTATGCAAAAGATACTTCAACTAGAGGAAACAATGACACCATGAGAGACTATTAAAATGCCTTGAAAATATATCCGTGCACAAACTTTGTTTAGCCTGAGTACATAGACCAAATGTTGTATTAATTGTATAGAACATGAGAAGCAACTTTACAAAATCACAAATGAATGAGCCTATGATAAGCTATCTAGTTAAGTGTCTCTCTCTATCGAATGATATTCACGAAGAATGTTCACCCTCTCCAGGTTGATTTTTTTATTTCATCATAGATGGAGACATCTTTCCGCCTAACTTCAGTTGGGGGTATAAGAGCTATAAATTCGTCAGTTGACGTGGGAAAGCAGTTTTACCAATTGAAGAGGCTGATAAGGCGTGAAGTATGCTGGATACACCAAATGACGATTGCTTGAGGCGCGTTTCTATTCTAACCTCCTAAGTGTAAGTAAATCTTGATTTTAAAAGCAGTCAGCTTTGTTGTGCCGCTTCAGCACACAACAGTGGGGTATCTCTACTACCTGAAAAGTATCATCAGACTCATTCAGTTAGTGGATGGTGGGATCGGAAAACGTATACAAAAAGTTTGCTAGGATGTCGTCCAGCTGAGCAAATCATGCTGTGAATAAAATAATTAGTCGCCCATTTAAATTCAGTGTGCTTCTCACCAGAGTCTACTGTCTTAGTAAACAACTGAGGAAAAGTCACTAAAGGTAGATTTGTGGGATATATTCTATTTGACTGCTATCATCTCAACTATACTTTTTACTTTCACCGGAACCCACCATGTAATGCAGAGTTTAAGCATAGATTCAAATATGAGGCAGGTGGATGAGATGTGTCATAGACTACTACAGCATGTTGTGTTGTTATTTTTTTATTTATTTTTGATTACAGCTTGATTCCACACCGTATTTTTGGTACAGGTATGGAATTTTCAGCATGGATATCGGTAGCCCAAATTTTGCAGGCCGACCATAGATATCGGGGGTGCGTCGGCAGGGGATCGAACTCCGGACCATATGCATGGTCGGCGAGAGTCCTAACCACTGTGCCACCGACTCAATAGAAAAGTTATCCTATTTTTATGTGCCATAAATAACATCCTCATGCCATCGAAAAAAAAGAAGCAGAGTTTAAACAAACCTGATGAATAAGAGTTGGGTCTCTTCGATGATGGTGAGAAGAAGCGTTTAACATTTGGTCAACATGACTACTACTATAGAAATAATCAACACCATCCGAATTGTAGTATTCATTATCATCATCATCGCGCAGAGTCCCTTGTGTGTTTTCTTTATTACTATTATTATTATTATTTTCACTATTGTTATTACTTTCACTGAGTGTATTTGCATGAAGATATTCAATAAATGCAGGAGCTAATTGAGAAGGCGAAGTGACATTTATTGTTGATGAAACAGCCACATCATTAGGACTAGTAACAGAGCCAATGAAATAATTCATATCAATGTGTAATAGAAATGGATTATCCAACCATGGTGTCAATCTTTTGGATGATGATGATGATGATGACGATGAAATTATATTATCTGAGTTGATAAAACTTGTCCGTGAAAATAAATAAATAGAATCTTTAGTTGTAGCTTTGGTTTTCTCTTCTGAAAGTAATGATTCAACCATCAGGTCAATCACTTCTTCATAGATAAAACTACCATTCACTGAACATGATTGTCTTGATATCCGTAAATTAGGCTGTAATGTAAAATAAAAAAAATTAAGATATATTACGATTAAATAAGTGTATAAAGTTTACTAGATTATACAGCTACTTCAACAGCATCACATCAAACAATTAAGAAGTATCTGAAATAATTTTTATTTTAATTTTATTATAGCTTGACTCCACACAGTATTTTTGATACAAGTATGGAATTTTCAGTATGTGATATCGGTAGCCCAAATTTTGCAGACCGACCATTGATATCGGGTGTGCGTCGACCGGGGGTCGAACCCTGGACCATGTGCCACCGATGCAGAAATTAAACAACTCCATTAAAACAGTCTGGGAAATAGGAAAACATTTCGCTTGTATCAAAATAGAGTTCATCAATAGTAAAATTAGACAGATTATACTCAGAAAGATACATTTTATTAATTGGTGGATGGTGACTAGCAGTGGAATCCAGGATAACGCGCATTTCGTCCTGTTTGGGACTCGTCACTGGATGTACCTGCATTCCCCAGTGAGTGATGATGTTCCCACTGAGGTTCAAACCCAGTGCCCATAGTTTGAAACGCCAAAGCGTTATCCACTAGACCACTTGGGCCACGAGAGTCCCAGATAGAATGAAATGCGCATCGTGCATTCCACTGCTAGTCACCATTCACCAATTAACTTCTAATTACATGCCCAGACATCGTCGAAGCATCTGCACAAGAAGCCGACAGGTCAACCTGAGACCGAGCACTTCGGTCCAATCAATCAACGGGAAAATCTAAAATTCAATTAAATAATACATTGTTTTTCCTCAAAAATCCTTTGAATATAATAAGTACTCGGTTTACATGACATACACAAGAATTGGCGATGAATAAATAACACAGCTTTCATGAAGATACGACTTATTTTAAAGGCATTTCCAAAACGATCCAACTGTAGTATGATGGTATTGCATTGATGCTGGCTAACAGTGAAATCCAAGAAGTGAGTTTTATTCTGGTTTTTTTCTTTTTTTTGATTTACAGCTTGATTCCACACCGTATTTTCAGTACAAGTGTGGAATTTTCAGCATGGATATCGGTAGCCCAAATTCAGGCCGACCATAGATATCGGGTGTGCGTCGGCAGGGGATCGAACCTCGGACCATGTGCATGGTCGGCGAGAGTCCTAACCACTGTGCCACCGACGCACATTAGACTCATTAGATGGATGCAAAAGAATCATAATGAGCTACGGTGTTCCAATTGAGAGTAGAATTTACAACTCAACTATAGTGTCAAATTGGTTTATAAAAAAGAACACTTTGTCAAGGATAGAAAACTTGTGGAGTGGTTTAGATGATTTTAATTTTCAACACGGAATTTGAGCCCACTTTTTTCAAATCAATTTTAGTGTTTAATTTAGTATTACAACAGGCATAAAAATCAGTCGTTCTTTAAGGTAACTGTTCCATAGTATGGGTGCTGTTAAAATAAGTGGTTCCTTCCGTGACATTAAGTTGACAATGAGAAACTTATATAAGCATACAGTAATTGCTACAATTTTCAAGAGTTGGCTCCTAGGGTTTTGATTTGTTTCAAGTTTGATGTCAGTCAGAGAACCATTGAAAACCTGGAAGTAGTGGACAACTGTTTCGTGCTAGTTTGGGACACTTCAGCAGCAGGCACCCATATCTTCACAGAGGATTGAACCTAAGGCCTTCGAGTTACGAGGCTGGAATCAGTCGGGTCATGAATTCTAACTTCTGTCAATTCCCGATTTTAGCGCGACCACCAGCCCCTTAGTGACTACCTACAGGACAAAGTTGCCTGGAGTTCTTCTAGTGGGAAGTTGTGGTCAGTGGGAGTCCACCAACTCGAGTGTGAGGACCAATAACTTGGAGGTCCTGAGTTGGGTCCCTGATGAGGTCATGCGTGAGAATAGTTACAATCTGAGATTTTTACCGGTTCACTATTGCACAATGGATAGGTAAATTAATCATGTAAGATTGTCATACTACTGATTATGTATGTTTCAGATGAAATGACAATCTGTAAAATTATGTTATTTTAAAAAAGTAAACTTTCGAAACTTAAGAGAACGCATATCAGTCAGCTGTTTTTTATTCTGTTTTTGCATGATATTTATGCCATATAGATCTGAATGTACAAATTGTCGTTAAGGGATATGTGGGTAAACCTGTTCAGAATTCTGCTCTGGAATATTTCTAAGATGTTTTTATTTAGGCAGAAATATTATTGCTTTTAGATTTTTTCAGTTATTTACCATCTCTCGACAAAATAGAGGGATGATATGCATAATTAGTAACTTACTAGAGACAGTAATGGTAGGCTGCACAGACTTTCAAATGCTGTACACAAACAAAACGTTGTAAAACTCATCGGCATACCAGTCACAAACAAATCAGTTTCGTGTTCTAATAAATTAATGTTTGCTAAACCAACATGATATTGTGCCTTTTTATAAAATTGGTCAACGGATATTTGTTTCCAAGATGGATATACCCATATCAATCTAGTAATTAAACCTAAGAAGATAAAAAAAGGGTAAAACAAAACGCGAATCGAAAATATCAATGAAAAAATAATACAGCTAAAGGATGTTTTATACCTAAATTACACACAAAGATCATGTACAACGAAAGTTGAGGAACTTGGTGTTTGATGACGGGTTACAATCATCAATCATCTGTACTTAATTTTCAGGTGTATGCTAGAATTTTTGAAAGACGAATACAAAGAAATTCAAGAAAACAACTATGTGCCTAGGTAGTTTACTTCACTTCTGCGCGACATTTTCCACTAAGACTTTCACAAACTCCGTCATGAACTAACACGACATCTTGGCAATAAACAGGTATAGTGAGAAGTCAATTAACAGGAAGACAACAGATTTAGGCTTCGTGTTGGCTGACACTTGCACTTTAGCAACAAAGTATGTTGAGGCAATTTTGTGCTGACTGCCGAAGATTTAGTCTTGACTACGCGCATAGCCTAGCACTAAAATCTCCTATGCAATTAAAGTGCAAATAAGATCCCAGCTGAGGTGTTTCACCTTACTCGGTGAAGATCACACTGATCACCTTACTGATGGATATTAATCAAAACACAATAAACTAGGCAGTTAAAATAGCTACCAACGGTCAACGCTGATGAAAGTGAACCTATTCACAACCTCGCTTATCTCCAAAATCTTGCCAGAATGTATCAGTAACATCAATACATCTTGATTTGAATAAATAGGAAAGACTTTTGTGTTTTTTTAATTTTAGGCGAATGTTCAGTAAAACAAGAGATAAAAAGGAACGAAATGCTCCCTGTATAAAATACCCGGTAGAAACACATAATGGTAAAAAAATATCACATTTATGGGGAGGAGGCCACAAACGATATTCTTTTCTGCGAAAAAATATTTTCAAAAATAAATCCCATTAGTGAAGTGTAGAAAACAACTGATTCCCAAAGTGTTAACGCACAATAGTCAAAAAAAAAGAGATTACGCAATATGCAGAAACTAAAGTACAATATGCATTTTTGTTCAGCAGAGAAATTTCCTTTCAACGACTTCATTTTCAAGCTGTACAGTCGTATTCATATTACAGAAAAAGTTATTAAGTGGCACTAAATAATTGCTCAGTCATTATTATTATTATTATTATCATTATTATTGTATCCTTTAATTCCTAGAGGAACATAGGGCTTCAGCCGTGCGTCTCCATTGCGTTCGGTTCTCTGCTAGAGTCTTCACCTGGCTCCAAGTCTACCCACACGTTTTCATCTTCTCTTCACATGACCTCCTCCAAGTCACCCCACCCTTGCACTGACGACCAACTCGCCGCTTCCCTTTCGGGTTCCAGTCGAGCGATGGCTTGTCTAGTGATGTCACTTGATGGTTTCCTCAGAGTATGGCCAGCCAATCCATCTCCATTTCTTCCTGCCTATTTGTTTCACAATCGGTTCCTGCTGTGTTGGTTCGCTTCCAGAGATCTCTATTGCTGATCTTTTCTGGCCAGCCATCTGATGTTGAGTATTGAGCGAAGACAACTGTTAATGAAGGTCTGTAGTTTGTTTGAGATGCTCTTTATGACGCGCAGTGCAAGTCTCTGATCCATGCGTATAGTAGCACTGACTGACTTCACATTGCAGTTGAAAATCCGGATCTTATTTTTGATGCTGAGTGTTGTTGATCTCCACACAGACTTGAGAGTAGTCAATATATATATATATATATATATATATATATATATATATGATAAGAATAATGATAATTAAAATGTTATAAGGGGTAGAGTTGAAGTGGATGAATTACAAAATTATTAAAGATTGTTTTATAAGTGAATTGATATCAAAAATTGTTTTTAAAAAAAAAGTCAAGCGTTGTCTGAAAATTTTTAAAATTAGAAGTACGATTACGATAAGAATAAAGATGTGAAGTGAAGTGGAACGAATTCAAGTGATAAAATAAAATGAAAACTAGAAAGAACATTACTATGACCAAGGTAAAGAAAGGGGTTTGACAAAACGTTTTTGAACACATAATTTAGGTTTCTGTTCATGTATAGCTAAAGCTTCGGCTATGCACTAGTGAAGAAAACGTAAACTTTTGGAGCGATTCGATTTTGCCATGTAGATAACTTTGAAAGATGAATCACGTGGGGTTGAATGACCAGACTCTAACAGGTGATCACAAATAGATGACTTCGCAGTTCTACGTTCGCCTTTCATTAACCAAACGGGATAGTGTTCAGCTACACGTTTTCGGAGAGTACGCTTACAACATCCAATATAATCAGCTCCGCAGGAGCAGGTAAGAGAGTAAATGCACACAGATGTGGAAATAAGCGGTAATCTATCCTTGACGCATTGTCTAATCATATTTTGGCTGGTAAAAACTAGTTGCAAGTCAGCTGCACTAAAAAAGCGTTTGATACATTTAGATAAACGATTTTTAATCAATTCAGAAATGGTGACACCTTTGATTGCAAGACTCATAAACAGTTTTTTCTTTGGCACTGTGATTTATCTAGGGGCTGATTCTTTCTTGATGTTACGTTCAATAAACCTTGTAGGACATCCATTGTTAAGGAGATTTGATCGAAGCTTATCTAGTTCCCTACCGGTTGTCTCTATAGAGCAGATTTTACGAATTCTAGAGCATAAGGAATGAATAAGATTTCTCTTTCTGCCTAAAGGTAACCAACTATTGAAGTTAGTGTACTGCCCTGTGAATGTTGGCTCTCGGTAAATCGACCTTAGCAGCGTTTCATTCTCTCTTCTATCTAGCTTAACGCCAAGGAATTGGAACGAGGAATGTGACTCTTCTTCGACCGTGAAAAGCAAAGATGGGTGAGAACCATTAAATATTCCAAGAAGTTTGGAAGTTGAAGAGTTTTCATCACGAACAATGAAGGTATCATCTATATATCTTTTATACATAAACACACTCGATAGTTTCCTTTAGTGGATCGTTCTCTAAGCTTACCATATATATATATATATATATATATATATATATATATATATATATATATATTGACTGAGCAATTATTTAGTGCCACTTAATAACTTTTTCTGTAATATGAATACGACTGTACAGCTTGAAAATGAAGTCGTTGAAACGAAATTTCTTCGCTGAACGAAAAACCTGTGTTTTACTTATGAAATGGGTATTTCTCGTGATTTAAAGTAGGATAACAATTTATTTAAGAAAACTATGCAAACAGACAAGAAGGGTGTTCGGCGGATATTTTGAGTGCAAACACTGCTTCACAACAAACACTGTCAACTAATCTCTAGTTACTCGTTAAAGAGTGTGAGATTCAAGCATGCAGAAAAGAAACTTCACTCAAGTGCAATTGCCTGACACTTCAATGACATGAGACACAGTTGAAATTAGTCAGGGTTTCAAAATAATCAATACTCAAAGAAAATCTTGATTACATAATTTGCCATTGCTATCTAAAGATTTCAACACAGCCTCTGTACACAGAAAGATAGTGTGATAAACCTCTGACTACCCTAGTAACTGTAATTGTTTTGTTCTTGTGTCTTTTTGTTTGGTCCTGTTGCGTAACAATACGTGATTTTCACTTAATGAGTTGAACTCACTTTTAAGTTTTCAAATTCGCTGAATTATTTTTCTGTCATGATTTTACTTTTCACTCTCACCCTCTTGAACTTTCCATCATATTATACCAAAATTTACTCGTGTTTTTGATTTTGTATTCGTCTTCAGTTCATTCTTGTTTCTATGCGAAATTTGAACTCTATTTTCCCCTCTTATCTAATTATACTATAAATAGTTAGACATGTTTTAAACTGAATAATCACTTCGGAATTATGTCACCAGTACTTTCTATCGATAAATCGACATCAGTGTGATGAAAGTATGTTCAGAACGTTTGAAACTTATACGCTGATATTGTTTTGGTTGTATGCCACTGAAAAAAAACCCACGAAATAAAACAAGCTCCTATTATTTGCAAATATGTTGATTCTTTCTTTGTTCAAACTAACCGATTGTATGGAATTGAAGGATTTTGTCACAAAAAGAGAGATTAGCGCACAATGAACCATAATGGGTGAAGACTTTTTCGAACTGAATTTAGCCGCTACTGTGCGTATGTGTTAGAGGAGAATAGAATTCGCAAACAGATTATTTAATCTGCTGTAGAAAAAATCAAGTAATTATGATAACCATAAAGATATCCGTTCGTACTTCCTATGAGTTCAACCTACTGAGAAGTAAATTAGCTCTACAGAACACGCAACACTAATATAATAAAAAAGAAGGCGTAACAGAATCCGATTATAGAACATGCAATAATTAAAACGTGGAATACGCGAAGACTATTAGATTTATAAATTAAAAGTAAACAAAAGGAAATAGGTCAAATTCAGATTGAACAAATAAAAGTCAGTAAACGGACATTCGAAATTATTACAGATAATGGCAAAATACTATAAAGAATAATAACGTCACCATAGCAACTTATTTGTTTTGTAGTCCAACTGTATCTAGTTAAATTTACAGAGGATTTAGAAAACAAATTAGAGCAGCACATTGATACAGGTCAGAACATATTTGAATAAATATTCATTAAATGATGCATAGGAACTTACCTTGATGTACACTACTTAAAAATACTCGAGACTGTTCTCTTTCATCGAATGCAATAACAGATTTTAACTGATCAGTATACGGAAACGGTGTTTGATTACTGAAACTGACCTATGAATAGTAGACGTAAAGAAAGAGGGTCATGATAAAATGTTCAGTAAATTCCATCTTTCAATAATGCTAGTCAAAGAACTGCTTAAAACTAAGAAGTTCTGGTATAAATGCTTCCCTGTAAGTGCTCATTTACTCAGTGGATGAAGCATATTTTATTACTTACCACATCCTAAGTTATCGCAAGTACGAATGCAGTATGTATCGCATCAGTTTTATCGACTGAAGATAATAAAATAGACTTTTATATTTCTGTTAGACATAATAAACAGAATGGAAAAGAGATAATAATTCAAGGGAAATAAAAGAGCAGGATAAAAAGATAAGGCATCATATATACTTGGATATATAGAAGATTAAATCTATAGATTTGGACAGAAGCCCTAAGCTGTGGTTTTTAGCGACGATATGAGGTTGATAATCGATGTGAACAGTGATTATCATATCATACACACAGCCATAATGCACCGATTGATTGATTGGGTTTCAGCACACAACCTTACACGAATTACCACACTCCATGTAGAGAAGACTCAAAAAAACTATAATCAACAGAAGTGTGAGGGAGAGAGCAGAGTCTTTAGTGAATATAGGGAGTCATAAAGAACGACTGTACCTACGCCACTGACAACGAAATTGATCCACATCACCGATAGTCTCTGGCATAGCGAGGACCTAACCGGACTTCCCTAAGAATCTCAAACCAACTGTCAAAGACTTCATGGAATGGTGTCAATGTTTGGTCTGACTCTTTTCTAACCTAATCCTATATCGGCTAACATTGTTCGTCGAGGAAGGCGATGTTTCAGTATGCGTAGCAAGTGTCTTAATACACATACACAATAACAATTCCTTTGCCAAAGTGACGTTTAAAAGTCGATTTAGTTGATTAAAACAAAAGACTAAAATTCGTATTCTGCACAATAATAATTATTTTCAGTCATGAGGTAATTATCCATGAAAATATGCATTTTCAAGGTCAATATATCCCGTAATTTTCATCAGATGAAAATAATGAAAAACTGTTACCCCTTTGAAGAATTGACTCTGATTTATTACCTGAAACCGTATTCATTTTCATACTACAATACATCAATGATTTCTTCATTTTTCACTTCTGTTACTTGACCTTATTATATTATTCATCAAGAACCTGTCATTTACCCAATGAGTTGGAAATCATGATTCACTCTGTTTGTGCTACAGGATAATTGTTGTTTATCGACAGAACTGAATGATATTCATGATACATATAAAGCAGGTTAGTAAAACAAGGTTAGCCGATAGTCTGTCTGTTTTCGACATAGAACTTTGCACATATGTGCGGCAGTTCAAGTCGCCACACTCCCTCCATGTAGCACACAAAGCAAGAGAAGAAAGTAGAAGAAATGCATAATATAGTCAGTAAACAGAGGTGTGAGACAAAGGTATAGTAATAACGCAGAACAAAACAGTTTAACTGGAAATCATATGTCACAAGGAGTGGATGCATCTGCACCAGCCACTGAGAACGATTTTGAGCCATGTCACCAATTGTTTCCAACCATTGGTTTTTACCATCCCGAGGACCCCAACCAGTCAGGAAGTCTACACCTTCCTACGTGGCTGGCTTAAGCCAACTGTTGTAGATTTCATTGATTGGTGCCATGTTTTCATTTGACCACCACTAGCTCTTTTCCAGCCTGACCCTATATCAGCTAACATTGCCCATTGTCGAGGAAGGCGATGACTAGGCATACGTAACACATGTCCTAACCATCTCAGTTGATGTAATTTCACAGTCTCGTCGACTGATTTCCCCTACTCAATATTGCTCACCTTATCATACCACTTCACGCGGGAGATAGAATGCAGACACCTATGATCGAAGACAGCTAATCCTTTCATGTCTTCCGCTCTCAATGGCCAGGTCTCACAGCCATAAAGGAGGACGGAGCGGACTTTTGAGCAGTACACACGCCCTTTGGTCGATAGTCGGGTATCACGTCTACTCCAGAGACGGCGTAAACTGGCATATGCGAAACTAGCCCTCTGTATTCGTGCTGAGATTTCGTCGGAGATCAACCCGTTGGGACTGATGGTACTTCCCAAGTAAGTGAAGCGGTCAACGTGCTCTACCACTTCACTTCCTATTTCTAATCTAAGAGTCGGTGTAGTCCAATCCTGTAACATCTTCTTACATGATGTTAGCTGATAGGGAAGAATTCAGTTAGCTAATAATGCCTCTATAGGTGATTTCGGCAAGTAAAGTTTAACACACTATGATTTAAAATCAAAGTGAATCTGGTGCTGAACAAAATGAAACAACTTTCCTACATTCCATGGTGCTTGATTCTCAGAATATATATTAAAGGACAAAATCAACTCACCAAAGTTAAACCATATGATGGCATAATATTATTCGCAATATTTGCAGGCCATATGTTAATAATTGCATCCGATAATTGAGATACAGTATAAATAGATGGTATCCAGTTTTTGCCATAATAACTCGAATATGCATTACTGCTAAAGCTTGATTGCTTTAAGAGTAAAGAGCATAATTGCAGTGTTGTATACAAGAATGTTCCAATGAGAAATAACCATGCAATAAATGAAAATAAACTATACACTCGTAATTGACGTGGGAATATTGTACAGCCATTTCCCAGTTGATTTATTTTGGGCTAAGAATAATGAAAGAAAAAAAATGTAATTTATGTTACAAAAAAGGCATAATTTGGTCACATACTGTACAACGATTATTTGTACAAGACAACTTCTCTGAACGATGTATTAGTGGAATATACCCCATAAACGACCTGGTACGGCAGACGGTGAGTAGACCTCAATCTTCTTCTCAAAATGCTCTCATGTGGCCATGCGTTCCTAGTCTCACTGTACCAGGTAAATTCTAGCCGAGGGGGCGTCCCTCACAAAAGTGAAAGGATGAATGAGAACGTCTGGAGCATAGAACCAGGCTGACCGACATGCATGTCTACCTAGGGGAGCTAGAAAATCCCGATTCCAAACTTATGGTGTACATAGGATACAGAGTCCAAATGGATGACATGAGGTATGAACTTATTTTAGTCCCCCGTCAAGCATGGGAACGTAGCTCCTGATGCTGCTCCGCTGCCTTGTGGATCAAACCTCAAGTCAAAGACTCAGAGAGTGGCCCCTTAAAACAGCCGTCTGCTGCGATCTGTGTATCCAAGATGTATCCCATCCCTCGCACAGGCTATACAATTTTGTGTGACTCATCTCTTGGTGCTTATAATGTACCAAGTTTCTGCTTTAATAAATAAATAAATAATAAATAAATAATCACTAGTGGAATACGTGCTATAACGCAATGAGTCAGCGCCTAAATAAAGATAAGTCTACGAAAATACATAAAAGAAAGACCTGAAACCAGTTCTTTTCATGTTCTTGACTGTTTTATTCACATTAAAATTATTTACAGAGGAAAAAAGTGACACTTTAGCAAAACGACTAAGATCTACGAAAATAGATATCTAAATGAACAAAAAGGCCACCAAAGCATTTCGTTCAAACATGGCGATAACTTGAATTTTCTTAAGAAGCCATTCCTGATTGACCATGATTTCATTGCACTAATGATTCTTCTATATGACTTGCAAAATAATATGCAACTTTAAAGTATAAACAGATACGCATTTGAGAATGCAATTTAAGCAAATGTGTGTTTTCAGTTATTTCTTATCAGGCTTTATAATTAATTAAAATATTAATCATAAACATTTACAACCAATGTGATTAGTAGAATTAAGGCTCAGGCATATGAATCAGTGGGCAAGAAGCAAGGTGATAATAATAATAATAACAAGGATAATTTGATGCAAGTGTTTAGAATAATCTAGGTAGAAAATCGTTGTGAGCGTGTAAGGAAAACGTGTAAAAATTGTGGGAAAGAGAAAAAAATAACTATTGTATCCTAGCGATTAAATAGTGTTTGGTTTTGTAATAAAGATGACAATATGCAAATATAACACATCGTAATAGTGATAATAAAGATTACGATAACAGTACAAATAAAGATAATATTTACACTTAACCGAGGATAACATGGAGATGTTGTGTGAAGAGAGGAAATGAAAACTTGTGTTTAACGATGGAGTCAGTTAAATTTAAAAAAACTGTAGAGAACAGAATGCAGTGGAAATATGGTGCTGAAGCTCTATGTTCCACTGGGAATTCAAGAGAATAATAATAAATAATTCACATGACTGAACTTTAATTCCATTTACCAAATTGGTTTCAAATATCTACGATTAATATTTTATCATATAATTGTGAAGCCTGATGAGAAATTACCGGAAATATCTGTTAAAATTAAGTTCTCTAATTGATTATCATGTTGGGGCATACACCATTCGCATATATGTTTTGCACTGGTTAGTAAAACATACGATACAGGCAATTGATTTAACTTCTTTATCTGGAGTAATTCATAATGTCTATACTGTACGTTATTTCACGATGGCAAATTAAGACACATATCAGATATCAGGATATATTGTATACGTTATATATATACTGATGCTTTGGCGGATGCCCGGCGCTCTTCACCGGGTTGACTGTCCATTGGATGACAGTCTAGGGGAGATGGCTAAACCCTGATTCCAAACCTCCAACGACTGGCGTATGAAGCTCACTGGAGCTCACCGGCAGACGTATGGACAAAGGGCTTGTTGGATGTCCTGGATGTCTGGCCCCATTCAAAAAGGCGTATGAAACGAACTCCGGTTACCGGCTGCCAATGGATAGTGGACTCCCTACTCCACTCCTACTGCCTTGTAGGTCACACTTGGTTGTGTAAAGGCTAGAGCTGCACTCTCGAACAAAAGGCCGAGCGATTCTGGGGACTTCACTCGTACCAAATTCCCATGAAACTTCATGAACTCTCTTACAGACGACTCTCACCATGCTACGGCGTTCCCGGTAAGCGACGCGCCCTGTGCTCACCCGGTGGCCAGTGTGAAAAGTAAGCCAGCTGGGAAATTAACACTTAGAAACCAACTATTTGTTGGCTGCTGGAATGTTAGGACGCTGTTGGATCCTGGTAGCCAATCTATCACCATGCGTTCTTTATACGACTACAAGGTGGACATAGCGTGTCTATCTGAAGTGAGGTTACCCGATCATGGCTCCCGCCGAATAGCCGTACCTGGAACAGATTCTTCATTCTGGTTGCTTCATAGTGGACCCCAGAATAATTCGGGACAACATGGGGTAGCATTTGCTCTCAGTAACAAAGCCAATAATGCCCTAATATCGTTCGAACCGGTCAACTCCAGAGTTGCAATCGCTAGGTTCAAGGGTTCCCCGCTCGACATTTCTGTTCTCGCTGTCTATGCCCCAACCCTCAACTCTGATGAAAGTATCAAAGACGAATTTTATGACAATCTTCAAGAGGCAATCAACAAAATCCCAAAGCGTGACGTTCTCATAGTAGCTGGCGATTGGAACGCCCACACTGGCCCTTCAGACGACGCGACAAAACATATACTAGGCAAACACGGTCTCGATCAGCACTGCCGTAATGGTGATAGACTTTTAGCTTTTTCTGATTAAAATCGATTATATATCACCAGCACTCGATTTCAACACCCTAGAAAACATCTTCTCACCTGGTATTCGAACGACGGTCGCACTGCACATCAGATTGACTACATCCTAGTGCGCTCACGCTGGATCTCCTCGGTGGAGGACTGCCGATCCTATCGTGGCGCAGAGGCCGGAAATAAAGGGGAATCAGACCATACTCTAGTTAGGGCGAAATTCAAACTTCGTTTAACAACACGCCAGAAGGCGCGACCTCCAAAGCGTATCAATGTTGCCCCGCTTCAATGTTCGATAAAGCGACAAGCCTTGTCCAAACAAATCCAGGCCGAACTAAGCGCCGCAGATGAGCCAACATCCACATCTTCTAATACATCTGAGACACGATGGAATCATTTCAAAGAAGTAGTCTCTAAAGCTTCAATGTCGTATTTGGGGACCACATCCAACAAACAGAAAGACTGGATTTCAGAGCACACTGTACATCTATCCTCGCAAGCCAGAGACGCTCGCCTAGCAAAGTCTCCAGTTTATCGCTCCCTCAGGCGCAAAGCAACACAGTCTGCTAGGAATGACAGAAATCGCTATTGGTCTAATGTGGCGACTAACATGGAAGGAGCATCAAATGTAGGCGATTTCGGAAAACTTTATCGCCTCATACGCCTATCATCTGGCAAACGCCCTAATAGCCATGCTGTGTTACGCACAGCATCAGGAGAAATTATTTCGGACACCAATGGTAAGATGGAACGATGGGCCGAACATTTCAAGCAGCTACTAAATCGCAACGCTGGTCAACCGTCTCATCGACCGATACGACACTTACCAACACCCTACGTAGTTGACTGCGATCCACCCACTCCAACCGAAATAGCTAAAACAATTAACAGACTCAGAAACAAAAAAGCTCCAGGCGAAGATGGTTTACTTCCAGAAATATACAAGGCCTGCACTCCAGCGCTAATCGATTCGCTGCACTCGCTGTTCTGCTCAATTTGGGATTCCGAAACCATTCCTTCCGATTGGAGCAACTCAGTTTTGCTACCGTTCCACAAAAAGGGAGACAGGTCAATATGTGAGAACTACCGAGGCATAAGTCTGATTGATATCGCTGCTAAGGTTTTTGTTTCCATTCTCCTGAACCGCTTCGCTGCCGAACGCCACGTGCGAACAAGGCCAAATCAAGCCGGATTTCGACCTGGAAAAGGCTGTATTGATCAAATATTCACACTGCGAAGAATTTTGGAACACAGGGACAAATACCAACAGCCGACGGTTGCTTGTTTCATCGACTTCCGAGCTGCATTCGACTCAGTTGATCGAGGAGCACTCTGGTATCTAATGGAGCTCGACGGAGTTCCGACCAAGCTAATCAACCTGCTCAGGTCATACTACTCCATCACCAAAGCTCGAGTCCGAGTGAACGGTGAAGAGTCTCGCACTTTTGAGGTAACCAGCGGTGTCCGGCAAGGTTGTCCAGCATCCCCCATCCTGTTCAATTTCACAATTGATTGGATTTTGCGGCACGCCCTAACCGAGCACCACGGCGTCCAACTTTCGCCCGATATTCACATAACCGACCTCGAATTCGCCGACGACGTCGTGTTATTAGCTGAAAACTTCCCCGATAGGCAACAGGCGCTCGATCAGATAAAACACCTCGCGTCTACTATCGGTTTGGAAATTAACACTTCCAAAACCAAAATGTTTTCGAACACATCCACCGGCAATGATGAAATCTTATACCTGAATGGAGCACCTATTGAAATTGTGCCATCCTTCAGATATCTGGGATCCATAATGCTTCCCAACGGTCAAGCGAAAAACGAAGTGAATGCGCGAATCTCCAACGCCCGGAATGCGTTTCTTCAGCTGAAAAGCGTTCTATGGAGCAAGAGGGAAATCAGTCTCAGGACTAAAATTCGGGTTTACCAAGCCTCCATACGATCCGTTCTCCTGTATGGCTGTGAAACCTGGCCTCTTCGCGCGGAAGATGTACGCAGACTCGAGGTAGTAGACCATTGGTGCCTCAGGTACATTCTGCATGTTCGTTGGCAGGACAAACTCTCCAACGAAGAAGTGCATCGTCGTTGCTACAACACCAACCAAATTCCAGTGCTGGTCCAACAACGTCGCCTTCGATGGTTTGGCCATGTTCTGCGCCGACCAGATGACGATCTGCTCAAATCAGTTCTAAATCCCTCGCCATTACCATCTTGGCGATGTCGCAGGGGTGGACAGCTGAAAACATGGCTTGGTACAGTCAAGGCTGATATGGAGTGCCTGGGGCTACACACCGTCTACGGACTCCGTCTGTGGAACAAGAATTGGATAACCCTGTCGCAAAACCTTGCATCAGATCGCCGCGCCTGGGCAGCGATGATTCGAGATGTTCATGAAGCCGGCTCATCCTCTCGTAGGAGATAGCCGAAGTAAATCAAATCATCATGCTTTGGCAAGCATCTCTACAAGCCTATGCAACCACTAGATAAGCGAAAAGAATGATTGCTGCGCGTAGCGACAGGTTGCACTAAAAGTAACCGCAAAGCTCATTTGCTAAGATTGATGATAGCATGGTAAATTGTTTGAGCACTCTTATCAGAGGTATAAGAGATAGTTTTACAGACTATATGTGAATCTAATAATAAAGACTATAAAAAAACCGTTAGGTCAGGTAGTGACGTGTATCACGAATCAGCTTTTTCTACTTGACCTGTTAACCAAAGATTTGACCCTGACGTAGATTATGGGTCACCTTCAATGAGAACGTTTTATATCTTAAACTAGTCATTTACTGGTTATGTAAAAAAAAAACAAATATATCAATAGTTGTAGTTTCTAGTGAGACTGTTTGTAGCCTTGTCAATCAATCAGTCAGTCAGTTGGCTGTGTCTTCTCAGTGTGAGAATACCAGTTGAATGTTGAGTGGACCCGCAAATCTCCAGTACCATCCCAGTTACGAAAAAAGTTTATTTTAAAAACTATCAGGTGCAAAAATGCGCTAATTATGTATGTAAGCAGTTAGATAATAAAAACCCCACTGAAAAAGGAATAATAAATCCATACATTTAAATCTCTGAGTTTTGTAAGTTATGCACTTACTTTCATGAAATACTTCAGCTTATACTTGGACGGTGAAAGTGTATGGTAATTTACTTTGGAGGACATAAACGACGCTTGTCCAATTTATTATATATATATGTATGTTTTTCTTTTATATCATCAAATCTAGCAGCATTGATTATGGTATAGGATAGACTCTATTGTAGATACATATGACAGATAGATCTAAAGTAGTCTTTGTATAAAGAAAAAAAAGTGGGATTAATTTGTTTAAAAAAAAGCTCATACAGTTAAGCAAAATGATTATGGCTTTATGCAAACACAAAAACAAATATAAAAATAACAAGTTATAACTAAATTACTGTCATAATGATCAATATGAAGTAACTACTACACCAGTGTAGATAATGAATTATGAGTGGAGCGTATTGGCGGTTCAATGATAGGATGCTCCACAATCGCCCACACGGTCCGGGTTCGATTCCCAGCCGAAACACTCCAAAAACTCGACAAGCCAACAGTAAACCCAGTAAAGAGGGAAGGTTGAACGTAAGGCTAGCAAAACAAAAACACTCGGCTATTGAAACTTTAGAGCTTAAGCTTCAAGCTTTATGTTTCAGTCAGAACGTAAAGGAATGAAATGATCCACATGTATACACAGTTATAACTAGATCACTTTTCACACATTATACACGAGTTAGCCGCACACACACACACACACACGAGCTATACTTTCAGATTTTTATATTTTAGTGTACAAAAGTACTCAACAACATGCTGAGGATTTATATTCCAAAGACTTTTGGTGAAATAGAACAGAAATTCTTCATCCAAGGAAAGCATTTTTAGGCATACTGATCAACAGGCTAAGTTAATCGCTTATTTTATAACATGAAGACGCTTAAAATAAACATGTATAAATTTAAATTAACTGTAGACAAGATGAATGGAACCACTTGTCTTACAGAGTATTTCTAATTGCAATTTGGTGGGAGTTTGCAACAAAGACATATACTCGAGCTTCATTTCCCGGATGGTACACCTTGAAAACGATACGCGATACGTAATGAAAAGAATTGGAGAAATCTTAAGTAATCAACAGAAAAAAAATCATAATCTTGATTATTAGACATCACAGACTAAACATAACAAGTAAGAGTCGTTAACACAAGTTAACAGAAACTACTTATACGTTTCAGGAGAATCGAAGAACAATTGAAAGATGGAAATAACCAACAACATAGCATGATTGACTAATTAGGTCAAAGTGACTTAGCTCTATACAGAAAGAATAACTATCTACAGGTTTATGCGATTAGGTAAGGGCAGGACGTGTGTCTTCTATCTTTGTGCAAAACTTCACAATTATTATTTCCAAATAGACAACAAAATAAAGACGATTGAAAATAAATCTTTAAAAAAACAGAACGGAAAACTGCTTTATAAAATCATTTTATTTAATTTTGTTCCAAATAATTTTCAAACCAATCAAAATTTCAAATATAAAACAAGCAGAAAACTAAATTTCGAAAGAAAAGCAAAATAAGCAAAATATATATTAAACTCAGGTAAAATACTTCAGTATTATAATAAACAATGACCTCTTTGACTTTATCCTTAAACATTTTTCCCCAGAAAATTACATTTTGAATAAGCAAGATCCTTAGTCATGTTAATATATATTCACTGGAAACACGAGCATACACATCAATTAAACTAAAGAGACAAGATGATAAATGCATATAACACTTAATGTTTGTTGAATGACAGTCACACACACACGCATACACACTAGCTACTTGAAACTAAGTTGCTCGGAATGGTATAAACTGTATAAGAACTGAGCTACACAGTTAAGTAGCTCAAGTTGAAACTTATAAAATAAAGCTGACCAGCTACATCTCTACATCACAGGCAATATAACAGGTATAACAGCTGTTTTCGGAGTGGAAAAGAAGATGGGTAAGAAGAAAAAATGTATAAGGATCATTATGATGATGATATGTTGCGTTGATGACGATAAGAAAGAGTTATGTAAGGCATCATAAGAAATCTACTGATATGTGGTCAATACAAATATGATATGAAATGAAACAGAAATTTTCATTGAGAAGTCACCGTGAGGACATGCCCTTTTTACTCATCACTATCATCTTCATATGTTCCTGATTCGTATAACATTTGGCGTAGTTGTAAACCCTGAAAACAAAAGAATTCAGAAAGAGAGGGAGAATTTACAATATGATTCAACTACACTAAGCTCCATATTATGCATTCAACTGATAGAAAGCTATTATATATTTATCTAAAGCAAATATAAATGAAGGGATAAACTAAATACCTGAGTCATCGATCAGTGAATTGTTAAAATCTCCATTTTTAATCACTAATAGGAATTATTTTAACAGGGAACTTATTTCTCAGTTTCTAAATATAACAAAGTGTCAGCCATGCACGCTAAGCTCAACGGTGAAGTTCAAATGACAGTCGCACGATGATAGAATATCTGTAAAGTGAATGAACACTTTTAACACTCTGCTCACCCAGAATATAGGATTAATGTCAGTCTAAATTTCCAATCAACAAATTATTGATGCAGGAACGAAGAACCTGACCGCCGTTTACTATCGGCCTACGTTTAATAAACAGTAAGAACTGGATGTGTTTCCCAGCACTGCTATGTGTACTGATACATGGCTACGAACAGTGAACATCAGATGTAGTACGCACGAAATATCAGTCTATTCATGGTAGGATTCAATTTACAAAAGTTGTAGGTAACTAGGCGGCTTTATAACATTGATAAGTGCTTTCTTTCGTCCAAATGATATTAATGGATGAAGTTCACAAGATACTTAAGATTTTCAAATTAAGCCTTATTCAGGATTTAAAGATACTAGTGATTAAGCTTAAATTTATTGTCATCTCCTTTGACAAGGTGATTAATTCAATATTTTAACAAGTAAGTGAACTAACACATGTAAGTAAACTAACACATAAACAAAGGTCGCTTACTTTACGAATTTCTGATAATTGCTGTAAAATAGTATCTTGTCGATTGATTGGTCGTTCATTTATTGAATTGGGATTTACAAGTGGGTCCTGAAAAAGAACAATAGCATATCTTGTAAGCAATCACTGTGATAGAATATTCTTATCATTTCGCATTGAGTACACCTATGATTATAACTATGCTTTGACATAATGCCGTATATAACGTGTCATATGGCAAAAAGACAGAAAAAAACTAAGCGAAATGAACACTAAACATTTGCATAATCCAATCAATCCAATCCAATATAACAGAAACAGTTAACAGGTTAAAACCAAACAATTAGCATAATCGATTTGAGAAAGAGAATAGTACAGTTTTGACGACAGGTTAGCATTTTATTCATTGAAACTGTGTGACATGTGAAAAACTGTAATTTTATAGTTTCAATTCCAAGGAACACTTCAAATGCATAGAAGTTATTTCACCAAAATATCACAGATAGATAAGGTTCACACTTTTAAATGCAAATCTTCACTTTTGTTTAAAACTAAAGGCCAATTTTATACATAATTTCACCAGCTTAAACAACTTATTAGACAAACGAAGCAAAGGGGGATAGCGATTTTATAGAAAAGCAAATAAGTGATAAGTATGTAATACTCAAAAGCCTCCTCTATGGAATGGAGTAACTCGTCATCCTTAGTAAGTAATGTTATTCTATCGTCTAGATTGCAGCAAGTGAATTGGAGTTGAATTAGTAACTCGATATAATAATAAAGCTTTATTTCTGACAGTATGGGAACATATGTTACAGAAATTTTCAGAGTATTCTGTTCCGAAATATTTCCTCTTGATACAGGATTTATATGTAAAGTAATATTCTGAAGTATATTATGTGACGTAGATTTGTTGCATACAAAGAGACAACCGATTCTGTACACTTTTCTTTTATTTCTTTCAAGAATTTCAAAGTGTTTAATGGGAAGCTAATGGAATATGTGCGCGAGTTCATGTAGTGATCATCTGATATAATTGCACGATTAAAACAAGAAATGCAGAAGAGTTTAAGTATTTTGAAGGATGGAAATTCTGGTAGGCCAGTGATTTAAGCAGGCCGCCGCGAGATACCTAGAATAGTTAATAGTCCGAATAAATAAATTATTCAGCAATAACTTTGCAAGATGAAACTTTTATCTTAAAAAATATGGTTAGTAGTGGTAGTAGTCAATTTACCACATGTCCATCATTTTCGTATTCCAATCTAAAAGGCACTTATACCCTTCAAAGACTTTAAGTTAATCCAATGACAAAGATATTGCTGATCGTGGAGAACGTCCTTTTTGCAGATACCCCTTTTGGTGTTTAAAACGCATCATAAATACCTCAAAAATAAGGGAACTAAAAGAACAGATAAACAAGCTTTTGTGCATATTTCCGACGACCGTTAAAATCATCTGAGAACCACAAACTTACAACAACTCAACAATATTACTATGAATCTTGATTTATATGTTATGGTGAAAACATTGTAGAGTTCTTCGTCTATGCTTATATTTATTAATTTCATTTGAAGCTAATGCAACCACAGTCTTAGTGGTTGAAAATGACATTAAATATTTATTTGTTCGTTACGGAAAGATTGGATCATATTAGTAAGATTAATGAACATATTCAAACAGGTTCATATAAGAAGGTTAAGAAACCTGTAAATGCATTTATGAGTCAAGTCAAAAGCTCAATATTAGATAAGTCTATTTTAATTATTACACAGTGATGCAATATTAACAACTGGATGAGGTTTCGAGCATTCATTATTGCTCATAATCATATCATTGGTTAAGCGTGTGACTATACTGATATTATCCATCAATCCAGTTGTTAATACTGCATCACTGTGTGATAATTAAAATAAACTTATCTAATATGGAATTACATCCTACCACAGTGCCCAAGTTCTACACTTATATTAACAAATCAAAAACTCTAAAGCTGATCTAGTACACCGAAGGGATTCAACTCTGGGTGAGTCAAAATGATTTAATCTAATGTCTAAAACTAATAATTCTAGTAGAATGAATGCCATTATTGAAATTCATGAACAAGAATACCCTATTTGGCCAGCAGTTGACTTTAGGAACGACCCGACATGTGAATCATCTAAATATTTAACATTAAAATTATGTTACAGTAGAGATCGGTCAGATTCTAGGCTAACTAATTCACACGTAATGAAATGGAAGCTAGAGTAGATTCAAAGAGAAAAGGATGAAAAAATGAGTTCCATCGTAAGAGGTTTATACACCAATATTCTACCTGAGGCAGCTATGGAAGCAGTTGGGAATGAACTGGGCATTGATTCTGAACTCAAAAACAGAAATTAAGTCTCGTTTGAAGAAACAATATTAGGTATCCAATGTACAAACAATGGGATCATCAATATCCCAGTAGCAGAGGACATATTTATGGATAGTTGGAAACATAGAGCTCTTAGAACGCTAAATCCTGCTTCTAGAATGTAGAGATACGAGGGTGACACATTTTCTTAGGGTTGGACAGGGCGACGTATCTCTTGATTTATTGAAAACTGCTGATCTTGTCTTTCTGGAGACCTATACGAAAATATTTACGATGATGGGTGAGAAAACTGCCATATTTCAATTAATACTTTGACTTTAATCCATCCCACCCGGAATCGGTGAAGGTAGGTTTAGTCATATGTTTATATAATCTGAAAAGCAGTCTAACTAGTAAGTCAGAAGAGTTAAGTACTAAATCAAGCAAATAAGGAAAACACTAGTAGTGAATAATTACTCTCCACAATTTATTCAAAAATGTATGAGGGCTCATACGAAAAATAATGAAAATAATATAAGTGATAAGGAATTCAAAGCCTCTATAGTGTTGTCATATCAAGAAGGAACACCAGAAGCCTTAAATAGGATTCTTAATAAGATTAGAATTAAGACAGCATTTAAACCAACCAACTCACTTAGAGATAAACTTTCTGTGCTTAAGAACCCAATAGAACCAATTAAGAAAAATAATATAATTTAACAGATACCATGTAGTGACTGTGAGGTCAGTTACATAGGTCAAAGTAGTAGATCGGAGTCAGACTATCAGAAGACAGAAATTCATCTAGAACTGGAATGTCCTCTTCATGTTAAATAACCTAGAAAAAATACAGCCATTGTAACTCCCTTGCATGTGATCACACAATAAGGTTGGATAGGGTAAGGGTATTAAAAAGTAATATAGTTTCGTGGGCGAGAGAGAGGTTAATCATCGAATCTTTGTTCATTGAATGAACACCGAACACCTGCAATCGAAATGACTCGACGCCCATACCGGATATGTGGAAAATTGCCATAAAAACAAGGGGCTGTGGGAGTGGAAATTTGCAAAGCAAGCTATGAAGTAGTGCGAATACATTGATATGACTTTAAGCAACAAATTGTGATGGAAACATCATCCAGTTATCAATGCTGTATTAAATAAATTTATTTAATATGGAATTATATTCTATCACAGTGCTGTTCTCTCCTTTTCTTTTTTCTTTCTTCTTACATGACTTACGTCTTTCTAATGAAATCAACTTCGTCAAATACGCTGATGATCTGACCGTCTCGTTTCCTGTCAAATCCCAATCAGACTGTTGCAAACTTAATTGCTTTTTGTTGGACATCAGTCAGTGGTCTAAGCTAAATGGTCTTACGTTAAATCCCTCAAAATGGCAGACTACTGACTTCTCCTTTAGACATAAACGTCATCTACAACGACTGGTCAATTAATACACACGATGCTTGTACCATAGAGGAGACTGTAACAGAAACTAGTTCTAACACAAAATACCTTGATATAGTTTTATCCTCTGACCTTACCTGGTCAACCCATATTTCATCGATCTCCAAGATAATATTCCATCTAAGCTACTACATTAAGAAGCTGAAACAATCTGGAATCACTCAACCTCTGCATTTACAATTTGTTAACTCGTTTATCTTACCTATTGTACTTTACTGCTCCTCCCGAAGTCTTTCCTGGTCTACTGAAAAAGGACTATGTCACTTTGAGACGAGTATTAAAGGTTGTTAGCAGGGCGAATGGTGTGCAACTAAGTCAGCTTTTCACTACATTAGTTGATAGACATCTAAGCTCATCCGAGAAATGGTCTAAATCTATATTGTCTGGCCCTCAACACCCCGTCTCTTCTCAACTCTCCTCCTGTATCCTGTCTTGTAGAACCAGAAGTCAGTAGAAAAGATTATATGCTCATACTACCAAGTATAGGAATTCAATGATACCATATTTAGCCTGTGTTTTATGCGATAGAGACAATGTAAAAAGTGGAACTTATGAATTACTATGTTGTTGTCTAAATAATTGGCCCTTTTATTATCTCCTATTTGTAATCTATAGTGACACTAACTCAATTAACTGACAGTCTTAGCTACTAACCCTTATTATTATCCATATATATATATATATATATATATATATATATATATGACTTCGCTGTCACTACAAATACCATATAAGAACGTCATTAGCAATCCTGTAATGCTATCTTTATAATTTTTTAGCATATTATTCGATAAAATTAGATGCAATATTATACCAAATGCTGAAAATTCTACACTGTACTGTTTTGGAATAAAGCAATTATTATTATTATTATTAAAATCCTACTCTTCTATTAATCATTTTTATTACATAACGCGTGCTGATAACTTTTAATCTTAATGGCGATGATTGCATTCTTCACTAGCATTTTTTCAGTAAAAATATCAGCACACAGACTAAAGAAGACTAAAGACAACCACGTGAGGTATTCACTACACTATATTTATCCAATTCAATTGATTTCGATTACATGCGCTCATCAAATTTTTCATTAATAATTTCCAAAATTAACTTGATTAAAGAAAGGTATGTGCATACACTCTTTTTGGAATGTCAATTTCAATGTCATCGAAAATTGGCAAGCATTTTTAATAAGTGAAGAAGCAAATCTCCATTATAGATAAGATTTTATTTTGATAAATCACACAGTGTTATACAGTAATATTAACTGATGACGTTTCGAGCATAAACTATTGCTCATAATCATATCAAGTAACTTGATATGCTCTACCACAGTGCCCAAGTTTTATACTTACATGAAGAAGCAAATTTCATGTGGAAATGATATTTTGCAATAACTAACTCAAGGGTACAACATTATACCGATGATAATACGAATGAGTGGAACGTTTATTATTGTATCGTATGACAAACAGACAAATTCAATGTAGAATTTTTCATTAAACAACGTTAATTCAAAATTCTCTTCTAAGTAAGTCATTTTGATAACAATGTGGATCGAAGAAGAAAGTAGAACAAAGGCGAAACAGTTCAATTAGGGGTTAAACTGTGATGAACCACACAAAACAGGAGAAGGAAAATACAATGGATTATACAATAAGCAAGCATGAATGGTATCGAAAAGAATAACTAGACAAAGATTTGATGAGAGATTTCCAGTATCTGTGCTATTGTAAACAATTCTGAGTCAGTGATTCTTAGTATCCTAAAGACACTAGACGGACAATGAATCTATGCGGTATTTTATGGTTCGAATCAACAGTGTCGATACTAAATTTTTGTTATCTTTAACTCTTTCTAACCTAGATCTACGTCGGATAACATTGCACGATGGAGACAACAGTGTTCAACAGTTCGTTTTTAGTATTTCCATGATGATAGCCAGAAAAAAAAGTACTTTTCCTACATCTACATATAAAAGTATTAGACTGTGGAGTAAGTATGAAATCCACAAAACAATTTCACATTGTATAATGAATAACCACAAATAAAAGAATAAAATAAAACACAAGTTCAACCATCTTCCAATACATTTATAAATGACCTTCTTAAAAAGACAATACTTATTTATAATCAACAAGTGCACAGGAATATGCTTAGTGAACAGATAAAACAAAGCATTTAATACTAACAAGGTTTGACCCATAAGTTTTACAAGCAAACCATTCCCTTTTAATTGAAAATAAATACTAACATTTCCTATAGAAAAAAAAAGAGAACTGAGAATATGTGGGACAGAACGCAAAGAGGTACACACTTTGTTCATCTTAACTTTAAAGGAAGTACATTAAAATATGCTTAAGAGTCATAAAATTACTGTTCAGGCTAAACAATTGAAGTATGTGAATATTTTGCATATTGACATAAAAATTATATATTAGGTTGTATGGAGTTAACATCTATCAACGTAGTTCTATACTACAGAGTCAAAATCGAATATTTCACGAAACATTCATTCAGGACTAGTAACTGTGAATCATTCACCAATTTATAATAATGAATGTTTATGATTAGTATGGAGAATGGATTTTAATCAGTTTGGTTATGAACCAAATGTGAATAAATATAGAAACAAGTAGGTGTCCGATGAGCTCAGATAGATGGGATAAACCATAGAGTTTAGTGCAGATACACGCAGAATCTCGCCTAGTTTACTAGCCGGTTCTAAGCACAGAAATGAGAAAAGGTTGAGAGTTGGCCTAGCAATACCACCCTTGTAAAAAACAACCCCATTGCTACTGAAACTTCAAACCACAGAAAAATCTTACTCTACGCTGGGATAAGGAAGACTCTATGAGAGACGCCAGCTGGCGATAGCTTTCAGGAAGTAGGTTGATGTGACTTCTTTCGATGGAAACAAAAATAAGCACGGGGACAGAGAATATCAGCAACAGGTTTGAGGTTGGCTGGTAATGCTGATCGAATTGCAGACTTTTATCAACAGCAACAGCCACTCATTAAAGAAGATTGGATGGCCGGTCGGAAAGGATAAGCAACAAGGAATTCTGTCGGATATTGATCCATGCAACAGCCTATGCCTGGCTCGAAAAATATGCAGAATGAAATGGAAATGGATTGGATATACGACGAGAAGACATTCAAGTGACATCGAGTGGAACACTAATGAGTTGAATGTCAGGGGGAAATAGGAAAAAATCATACCTACAGGAGATAAAATCTTGCGGGTAGTCATAAAGTCAGCTGGAAATGATAGTAAAGAATCGAGTGGATTGGAGATGTGCTGCAAACCTTATATTCTACTCCGAAAGCAAGGAACGAATAATAATATACGCATGCAAAAGATGATAAGTGAGGTCCTCTCCTGCATTGTCTTTCATGATCATTTTAGCCCTGAAATTTCTTTAATTATTCACTTTAACAGATTCTTTGTTACGAAAACCCTACTGTTGTTAACATATACCAAGTGTTCGTTAACTAATATGAGTATTTAAATGTGAGAACTAAGGAAGAAGTTATTGAAAGAAGTTCTTCGTTCACTGAACTGCCTTAAAATGATACAAGGGATTTCAATCAATGGTGTTTGATTATCCAGGTCCTAGAAGATCGGTTCTACAGAAGATAACGCAATACAGTGTTTTTTAACATAAAAATCGATTTCCCCCGCATAACTCCATATTCGTACAAATCGAATAATTATCTCTTGTATGAAACCTATGCATTAGAACCGTGAAGAATACAGAACGTATTTTTCAAAAAGATAGTGTTATACAAAAATCTACTTATGAATAAATTACAAATAAATAAGGTTTGAAGAAGTGCAAACATAAAACAAAGACAAAACAGCTTATTACCTTAGCATCTGTTTTCTTTGTGTTTGTAACGGTATTTTCAGTTTCTGTACTTACAGGTAGGGCCACATGACTCATAACATTCGGATTCAAAACATCATATGTACGGATAAGGTCTAAAGGTCCGTAAGGATTTTGATTATCAGGATACGATGTTTTCTTAGATGAAGAATAGGTGGTGGCGACTTGTTGTCTAGGTAGGGAATTCATTGTTATACTGTGGGTTGTGGATACTTGACAAAAGTTATTTCAAAAGAAAAGAAATAAACAATAATATATATTATATATATATATATATATACATATACAATGAAATAAAAATTTGTACTACGAGAACTGTTTATGGTTCTAACATGCTAACGTAGGTTCACAACATACACTACATGACTTAGATTATCCGGACATATAATAATACGACTAGAAAATAATTACTGTGAATAAAAGATACAAGTTATTCCATTCTAATGGGAAGTCGTCACCAGCGGAGTCCACCAAGTTGGGTGTGAGGACAAATACCGCCCGATGATATTGGCCGCCAGTGGCTCTACATATGGTGAATAGGCAGAGGTTAGAATTGATAGGCCACTGGATTTTTTCGCAGTGGCTGAATGGTCTACCAACTCGTCTTGTAACCTGGCGATCTTGAGTTCAATCTCTGAAGGGGTCATGTGTGCGGACTGATGAAGAGTCTCATACAAAGACGAAACAGCTGGTTTTCAATGATTCTCTAAGTGAAGTCAATTCGTGATCTAAATTTCCATGTATTTTTTATTTGCATGAATTTCGGGATCACGAATCAGATTATGCGGTTTAGTCACAAATTACATCATCCATTATAACCAATTATTATGACATGATGAAGTTTAGAATCAATACAGTTGGATACGTAGTAGGGTTAATGACTATTATTTAAGCTGAGTACGCATCCAATCTTTAGTCCTTATTTTCTCATACAAAGTGTTCATTTATAAACAGCATACACCATTAACGTTACAAATCACGATAGGAATATAGACCAACATCACCCGTTCTCCAAAAGCAGTGCTGCTTAGAGAATACGGTTCAGCGGCAAAATGTACTCTTAAAAAATACAAAGAAATAAGGAGAAGGATAAATAGCATTTAACACTATCCATTCACCATTCACGCGTGGAAGTCAATAAGAAATGCTAAAAGTGTGATTCAAACCAGGCGATAGTGTTATTTATATCTCACAATACACTTTACAAGGAATAAATATTTGTCTTAATAGAATGAAGGTTAAACACGACAATAATATCCGTTTCAAATGTTTTATTGAAAGGAATATCCAATTCAGGATTTGACTACAATAATGAATTTAATTTTAATGTAAACTGATAACAGTATACTTTTAAGGGACATGTATACAAGTTATAACATTTGTCATTTATTGTATAACACTTTATCATAGTATCCCCCATTTAAACAATCGCAATCTACACCAATCGCACAACAAATATGCAGAAGTAAATGCAGATAGAATAAACAGACACACGCTGAGAAGATCGTTGATCGACATCAAGCGCAAAGCACCTCATCGAGTGGAACCCGAATGGGGAACGACGAGTTGAACGTTAGTCCGAGAGTGACGTCGAAAACATCATGTGAGGAGGAGACAAAACCTTATGGGCAATCGTGGAACTATCTAAAAAGGACTGAGGAGGAGGACAAAGTGAAATGGACGTACGGTGCTGAAACTCTATGTTCCACTCGGGACCCAAGGGAATAATCATAATAATACACCTAAATTTATCGTTCGATCTGACTGATTTTAATATGTATGCAGCATGCAAGTTTTAAACTTTAAGAAAAATGAAATAACAGCAAAAACGAATAGGTTTGTATTTCGACGTCAAACGTTATTTAAGTCCATCAATGTGACCGAAATAATATAAATAATAATATTAAACAGATATCTTCATACTACTTTAGACATGAATGAACACAGTGAATGACCCGATTAGCTTAAATCAAGTGTGATTTCTAATGACACAGTGTACATACACACCCACACAAACACACTGGATAAAGAAATCAAAAATCAATAGCAGTGAAAATCAAACAAAATTTAGTTCATTGATAACAAATTTAAGAATTGACTGACTGACTGACTGACTGAGTTTCAACATAGAACTTTGCACAGAAATGTAGCAGTTCATGTTGACACATTCCATTTAACACACAAAACAGAGGGAAAGAAAAGATTCGAAAGAACTGCAATAAACAGAAATGTAAGAGAAAGAATAGTAAAATAGAAAGACATGAGAATTTGATACATCTGAGGGACTTACAAAGAGTGAATGCACCCTACACCCAACCTCAATATTACCTACCACATTATCCCACTTAACCCTGGTGACAGAATGCGGAAACCTATGACCAGAGACAACTACCCTTTTCATATCTTCCCCTTTCAATGGCTATGTCTCACAGCTATAAAGGGGGACAGAGAGAAATGCTGAGCATCACATACGTCCTCTAATTAATAGCTGCATATACTGACTCAGTCTGACACAGAAATTTCTACCTGTAAGGACAGTATTAAACTAATTAGGATACACCTGGGGAAAGGTTTAGAATAACTAGAGAGAAAACAAGAGATAAACCAGGAATTATCCCATTGTCGCTTGGACTGGTGAAATAATTCACTGGCTAATTTGTGTGTATTTCTATAATTTATCTAACTTTAATCTACGCAAACTGCAATAATCTTAAGAAATTCCACCTCTGAAAAAAAACTTACTAAATGGATATCCCAGAAATCTACAAAACGAAATAATGTAGTATGAATCAGAGGATTTTTCAACTAACTAACATGAAGTCGTGTTGTGCAACACCTGTATGCAAACCACTTAAGTGTTAACTATAATTGTGATAATTAAGTAGATTAAATAAGGAATAGTTTCCAAAACTTACTTGGCACAGGGATACGACTTTTGAAGTAATTTCCATCTTGGACAGTTCTTTATTGAAAAAAGAAAGCAAACATATAGGTCAGTATATTGATTTGATATATGTTTGACACTTGTGTTAATAATAGTTGAAAGATGCAAACAAAAATAGCGATACCCCGAGCATATAAGAAGTACGAAGCAAATCCAGTAAGCAGCTTACTAAAGTGTATATAATTTTAAACTCTATGATACCATAGCACAGCTGATCACTCCTTGCAAATCAACACTTGAAAATTAATCTTCTGCTCATTAGTGACTGACTATAGGATGAAGTTACCTGGAGTTCTAGGTACTTGCCGATGACATTGGTTGGCTGTGGTGCTATATATCGCTAATTAGTAGACATTAGAATCAATGGGCAATTGAACCTTGTACAGTTGGTTGAAATGTCAATGGACTCAACTTACAACCTGAATGTCCTGGGTTCGACCCTCAGTGTACATACCGTTGAGGAGTCCTAGACTTTGACAAAACAGCTGTTCAGAGTACCTTGATTTTTAATCGTTTACTAACTGAAGTGAGTTTGTGAAAGCAATCAAATCCCTGCAAACCAACACTTGAAAAAGGAGTTAGTTGGTGGTAAACACTCTTATTGAATCAATAATTCTAAACGCTGATAAGTGGCTTTATATACATATATGTATATATATATATATATATATATATGTATATATGAATATTCAGTTGCTCTGTTGTCAGTTTAGTAGGTGCTTGTGTGAACAATACAGCTGTCCGTGAGTAGTGTTCACCCAGCCACACTGTCATTCAGTGAGATCAATAGATCAACTAGAATCACTCAAGCTTATTCTTATTGATCGAATAACCAGTCAGTTGCACCACAGTGATGTAGCATATGTATTTTTTGAAATTTGTCGCCTAAAGCACTAGGTCTTCAAGTTCAGAAGAGGTCATCAATCCTTTAACGACAGGTTAAGCCCACTAAAAATTGTGCATTAGTTTATATACGACTGTTGAATCAGATATCTTGAATAAAAAGCTGAAGCTAGTCTTCTTAAATGTTAACTAAGAACTGTAGGTTGGTCATTTTTCTTAATTTATGACCAAGGCATTGCAAACATTTTCAGGTAGATCACACTCAATATATAAAAATGCAATTTCTATGAAACAGTTCTAGAGTAATACAGATACTCAATTAGATTACGTTTAGGCATGATCAAGAATTGATATTAGTGATGCTGGATGACTTTTTCAAGGTTTCCATCAATAACAGCATGGTATTGTTGAAAACGTATTTTACAGAATAAGTTTGATGCTTCCGGTGACTCAACACTACCCAACGGTTAACCGAATACAGCACTACAGTTTAGTCTTAGTCTAACTAGCTTACCACTAACATTTCTAAATGCATCAAACTATACTAAGGTTGCAAAAACACCTTGTTAGGGCAAACCTATATTCGGCATGCTTTGTTGCCACTTCGAAAGAGTCATTATCAAATACAGTGACACCACTGACTAACCTATTTATCCAGAAATCTGAAAATATATGAATAGCACAGTAACATATCTTCGCTTAATCCTTCACACTCCATTGGACATCCTATAACATTTTAATACCTGTACATAATAGTCAACCATGTTATACGATTATAGCGTTGAGTTGAACACAATCTTTTACAGGTGATCCAGTTTCATTACCGAAAAATAATCTATCTAAATATACTACAATGCGTACAGGTGAACACGATACCAATAATAAAGAAAAGACAACTTTACCTTCCCAGTCCTGGTTTTAGAGCATTTATTTTATCCAGACTTGATGACAGCGTCCTACTGCTAGATAGGACTGATTGTTCACCGGTTGATTTAATATCATTGTTGTTATTAGGGACATCAAGCTGGCGTGGTTGAATTTTTGAATTCTGTTTAGATTTCAATACATTTAAAGTTTCTTTTTTATTTACATTTGAAATCTTCTGTTGTATATTTTTATCTGTTGGCAAAGAACGATTCTGTCGAGCTGTGAAGGAAAATTTTTAAAAGAAAACAGCTGATTGATTCTTACCTATCTATGAGTATCCTACAATGAACTAATTCTGCAATGTAAAGTACATATCAACATACAAATAAATAGGTAATATTAAAGGATTAGATAGTTTTCATAACACAAGTGTGGATATATAAACAAAACTGTTCGTTATGAAAACACTTTCATTGCAATACACACACTTTTAAGAAAAAAAATTAACAAGTTAGATTTAGGTACACAAATTATGAACATGAAATACACTGATACCAAATGTAAACACAAGAAACCATTTCATTTGAATGTAACCTGCTATCCATAATGATAATACCTATAGTAATTAGTACAGTTGACACCAGATGTCACCAGTAGACTACTTAAATTCTTTGTCAGTAGCACACAATCAACTTACTACTACCACCTGCCAATTGAGTTACTAATCTTATTTGCTCTGTGTATTAAGAGTAAAATTTGAGTTTCTTTTAAAAATGACCAAATAACCCATTTCAGTGTGTTCAGAATCACTAACCGAACAACATGCTGACAATGGAATACTAACGTATATATTACTCAAGAAAACATACAAAACATACAATTCTTGTACCTATCTTAACATTCAGACGATCATTAAAGGAAATGATGTAAAATTTTAGTTGTTGAAAATACAGAGAGCATCAAAAATAATGCTTATTAGATGACATCGATATGGTTCTTTAATATATCGAAAAGAATTAACGCTGTTCCCGGTGAAAAATTACACCATAGATCTTATTTTACTGCAAATTTACTTCAGGTTCAGGGGTTCGAGTCGTATTTCATCTACTACATCATGGGCAACTGGGCAGTATCGTTAGCTCTCAGACGCGATAAGTGTGGCTTTTAGCCTGATACATGAAACTTAGGGAAGTAAATGGAATAACGTGATATTTGATTAGAAAGAATCACAATGATTTAAATGGGTCAAAAAGTAATTCAGTGACTCCGAAGATTCAATAAAAAGGGAGAATAAAAAAATCTACAGCCAACAAGATACGAACAGAAAACTACTTCGACAGACTACTGTGAGATCTACAACATTTCATTTCTGCTACAGTATCTTATCAATTATAATAGAAGCAGTGTCATCGACAGTTGGCTAGAACTCATTCATTGGGAACCGACTTTCCATGTACTAGACTAGAATGCAACACTTATGGTGTGCAAGCCAATGATACTAACCGCACTAAAGTAGATAAAGAGGGATACAATTTCTTGAAACAATGAGTTACCCATCCCAGTGTCAACATGAATAGTATTACAAATAGGCAGGAATGATTGTAATCCATTACGTTTACAAAAAAAATAAAAGAAATCATTTTATCAGTAAGCAGGGTTAAGAAATAAAGTCATATAAATAAAATGATATAGTATGTAGTAATGAACATTACCTACGTATAGTAAGATCACTAGAAACGCTTACCCACAGAATAACATATTTTACTTAGAATAAACACAGTAGTCAATAATATTATTTAATGTAACACTAGAAAACTAAGAATAATTGAATTCACTTACAGGGGTTAGAAGGTAATTTAGTTTGATTAACTGCCTTGTTTGAATAGTTTTTCATCAGTTTACTATCACTTGGAGTTAGTTTGTAAGTAGCAGTGCCTTTCATTCCATTCTTACCTTCTGTATTATTTGAAGCCCGATGATTCTCAGAATTATCTGTTGAGACAGATTCTGAAAAAAATAATCAACACTGATATATAGACTTAATATAAAGTTATTAAATTCTGTTAGATTGGCAGTTGGCCAATCTAGACAGATTCATAACTAATAGGTCTTCTCAAGATTCAGTGTTTTTGAGTTAAATACCGGAAAAGCAGGTTTTAATTGGTTTTTTACTTCATGGATAGATCAGACGAAGGTATATCACTGGGTCCTTATCAAATGAACTTTCCATTTATGATGGAGATTCTTTAACATTACGAAGACCATAGACAGGCAATCAGCATCTTTTTAAATGGCTCGGATCAAAACTCAGTAACTTTACGAATTAATATCGTGTTTTCACTCGATCACCTGTAACCCTGTTAAATTCTGATCTCAATTCAGCTAACATTACTCGTCCCACAAGGTAGTGGCATGTATTCTGCTATTTTAAACAATAGAAGCTCCGAAACCTACTCTATGGCCTTCCCTTCTCTACCCCATACTTCACACTTCAACTCATTATTTCAAACCATACTGCAAAAAGAGATTGAACCGAGACACCTGTGGTCAAAGACTCGCTAATCTTTCCTAATCTACCTTCAACTGTTATTTATCACAGCTGTAATGTAGAAGAGGGATAAGGGACGTGCAGTATACACACCCTTTAATAGACAGTCGAATATAACACCTGCACCAAAGGGGAAACAAGTTAGTAATTATTGTGACCAGGATAATACTACATTCGGGTTCGTTCTACTGAGACTTCACGGCACAACAATGATGACTGATCGCTTGACTACCATTCCCAAACTGAGAAGACACAATACAGTGATTGAGATGGCAAACATTTATTGCTATAGGGAAAAGGCTACATGTCCAGAAATTATAGCTAATTATATACTTCTTGTAATAAGTTTACGCTCTGAGAAATATACTCTGGCTGGATAGCATGTATCTGTAATAATCCAGTGGAGTGACCTTTAATCGGGATAACTGTCGAATGTCTGATTTACAGATCACGTGAGAAACACCGATTCATATGTCTCATGCTGCTCTAAGAGCAATACCAGATGGGCCATTGTATCTGTACCAATACTGATGCAACTTCTCAAATAAATGAAGTGGCTCAGCCATTCGGTTATCTATCCTTAAGGGTGGATCAGTCCTCTAGCATCATCTTCATTTGACAGGGACAGACTGCATACCAGACATATTCAGATTTCTGCTCAGTGTTCTGAAGATTCTGCGCTTTGTCAGCATTCTCGCCTCAAAAGGTAGTAACATTTGCGAACTCCAGACCACCGAGGCCATACCTGGTAACAATCCCTGAAATACCAAAGTCAGAGTCACATCCATCAGTAAATCTATAATGAAACTAAGTAAAAATAGAAATATTGGGAATCCCTGATGGACAACTACTGGTTGTCTTTACTTCAGACAACAATTCTCCATAACCTCTTACATGGATGCATAAATTGGAGTATGGCACCTTGATTGGTGCGATATAGTTTCTCAACACTCTCTTCACAGTCAAATATTTTCACAATACTTGTTGATAAATAGAGTCACATGCCACGTATGAAGGCGCCTGTGTTGCAGAACCTATCGAAGATATGGTCAAAGCACCGTTCTGTGGGTTTTAACCCTACCGAGTTGTTAAGAAATCTGTAAACTAAAAATAATGATCACTTTTCATGCCACGTATGCTCATACATTGAATTATTTACCTGTTTGAATGCCAATATCTTCAAGAAATGAAGTTTGAACAGCAAACGATGATTTAGCGGGTGCCATAGTCTAAAAGAGAATAACAGCAAAACGTATGATGAATGAGGTGACGTAATATTACAAAAAAGAAAGAAAATTCAGCTGTGGTTAGAAGTAGCCTCACAAAATGCTTCTTAGTTGTACCAAACTGTTAGAAATCGGTATATCCCAATGAATCAAAAACAAAACGAAAAATGTAACTATAATTCATAGGGGAGATAGCTATGCCTGGAATTCTACTTACAATATAGAGAACAACACTAAACGAGGCTGAAAAAGTACGTCAAAATCCTGTACTATAACAGTCACTCTCCCATAAAGACCAAACAGATCAGATGAGGTCAGAAAATTACTCAATAAAAATGTCATCAGAATATTCTTTAGAAAATAAGATACACTGCGAAACAAACTTGTTCATGTAAAAGACAAGCCTTCGAAGGGTTTACAATCTAGTTATCTGCAAAATAAGATGTTTGAACCGTGGTGCAATAAAAACCTTTAAAGAAATTAAAATTCCGAAGAAATGAAACGCGGAAAGTTTCTTTCCGACTACTGAGAAACCCAATCGAAACTAACAAATCATCATCCATGGGCTTATGCACTATAGTATCAGGCGAGATAAATGACTTTGGTAAAATTAAAACGATTCACAGAAATCTTAAAAAGTTTACGGACGTCCTCATATCAGAGGCGTTTAACATAAAATGGAATTCAAACTGTCTGAATGCGAAAGAGGGGATGAAGGTATACTTTAACTTGGATCTAACATCCTATTTCCACAAGCATTTTTTTACCACATGAATAAATGACGTTTTTAGAATTTATGAGCTGATCAAAGTCAACAACCTACACATTCACTTGACAGCGGAGAATTGCTTCACAAAGAAGAACTCTGACTGAGTTATGAATATTTGGATAACATCAATTTATTTCTGAACAATGAAAAACAACAAACATAAATGATGAAAACAATAGAGAAACGAGATAAAAATGATAAAAGGGAACAGGAGATGCTAAAATGTTCAACTTACAGAATCCTGTAAGCGAGAAAATAATTTATTTTTAATGTCAATGGATGTTCATTATCATATAGGTTACATGCTGCATACGGCTGAATCCAATAACATATGAATACTATCTTAATGAAATTTCCAAGTATTGGTTTGGTAGGGATTTTGTTTAATTGTATGGAGGATTTCATCATGAGCTGACATCAGTTAGAGAACCACTGGAAAACCTGGGAGTACTGGACAGCTGTTTCGTCCTAGTTAGGGACTCTTCATCAGTACGCGCCCACCGGGATTCGAACCCAGGACCTTCTGGTTACAAGGCGAGCTCGTAGACCATCTAGCCACTGGGACTCGATCTAATGGCCTTTGAATTCTAACTTCTGCCAATTCACGACATAGCGCAACCATTTCGCAATGTCTTCTTAGATGAGTTACTGTCACATCTTCAACCTGCTGTACCCTACTGGTCACGGCTTCCTACTAGAACCCCAGGTTAACTGCCTGAATAGGGCCAGTCACTAGTGAGCATCAGATTAATTTTCAAGTATTGGTTTGGTAGGGATTTTGTTTAATTGCGAAATGGTCGCGCTATGTTGTGAATTGGCAGAAGTTAGAATTCAAGGACCATTGGATCGGGTCCCAGTGGCTCAATGGTCTACGAGCTCACCTTGTAACCAGAAGGTCCTGGGTTCGAATCCCGGTGGGCGCGTACTGATGAAGAGTCCCTAACTAGGACGAAACAGCTGTCCAGTACTCCCAGGTTTTCCAGTGGTTCTCTAACTGATGTCAGCTCATGATGAAATCCTCCATACAATTAATGAAATTTCTTCAGCGATTATTATACCAAGACTAATGGAGCTCCGAATGCAATGACATCCGTATTTGTAAACAACAGATAGTGAAAATAGAAAAGTCATAATCTCAATTATACAAAATAACAGCTTTTCTATATACTCTTCAGTTTCTATATGCTCAAGTTTCAAAGTCGTGTGATTATAATTGATATGATTATGAACGATAAATTTTCTTCGAAACGCCATCCAGTAAATAATACTGTTTCTGTGACTGTGTGATACATTTAATAAACAAACTAATATAGAATCTCACTGGTCACGACTTCTCACTAGAACTGCAGGAAGCTCCAACCTGTAGCAAGTCACTAGCGAGCATCAGAATAATTTTCTATAGTTTGGTTTGTAAGGATTAGTTATGTTTTACGAGTTGATCACGGACTGATGCTCGCTAGTGACTTGCTACAGGTTGGAGCTTCCTGCAGTTCTAGTGAGAAGTCGTGACCAGTGAGGTCCAATTAGAAGTCACGTGTGGATGGATTTCCACCGACGACAATAGTTGGGGTCGCGCTAAAATCACGAATTGGTAGAAGTTAGAATTCATGAGCCATTGAATCGGGTCCCAGTGGCTGAATGGTATACGAGCTTGCCTTGTAACCGGAAGGTCCTGGGTTCGAATCCCAGTGGGTGCGTACTGCCGATGATTCCCAAACTAGGATGAAACAGCAGCTGTCCAGTACTCCCTGGTTTTCAATGGTTCTCTAACCGATATCAGTCTGTGATCAACTCGTAAAACATAACTAATCCTTACAAACCAAACTATAGAAAATAATATGGAATCGCTCTTCAGTTTCATTGTCAAAATGTGTTTATTAGAACAACAAAGTTCAGCGAAGAGTCTCTTTTCGGCGAATTCATTCACTTAGCTGTGCAATCGAATTTATATGTAATTATTTTGTGTGTATGTTTGTGTGTGTACATTAGGATTGTCAAACAAAAACAAAGTAAAAATTAGTTAAGGTCACCGTTTACGTCATCGAAATGTCTCTAAAATGTGATGAATAATCAAAATTGTAACTAGGGTCGGGGGGGGGGTGAAGATTAGTAAGTATTATCATTTTGATGACGTAAACAGTAACATTAACTAATTTTTATTTTATTTTTGTTTGACAATCTTAATGTACACACACAGACACACACACACACACACAAAATAATTACATATAAATTCGATTGCACAGCTAAGTGAATAAATTCGGCGAAAAGAGACTCTTTGCTGAACTTTGTTGTTCTTATATTCATGCCTGGATGGATATTTTCCGTGAATTAAAAGTGTGTTTACCTATTCCAGGTCATTTAAAATAATATGCTGTAAACATTGGAGAGGTGCATGAGCGGTAAAATGATCACCAACCAAGCGTATGGTAGGGGTTCGATTCCCGACAGACATTCCTAAACTTTGCTTAGACGGTTGTAAACCAGGTAAAGGGAGATGGTTTCGCTTGTGACTGGCAAACCTACTCCTACTGACACCTTAGAACTCAAATTTGAAGCTCTATATTCCACTCGAAACGCAAAGGAATGAAACATTAGAGAAAACATACACGGAGACTTACACCAGTGGTACCTGTATATTTGCACAAAATAAGTGTTAGCAGTAGGACAATTAAAATTTAGTTAGCTATGAAAACCACTTCAATAAGAATATTATTTGGCATTTTAAACGTTCTGGCCTTCGACTATCTGACTTTTCAGTTAAAAAGAAATATCAATAAATAGCGACTCATTTCGACCTAAAAAGTTAGATTCTTGAGAAGGAACTTAACTTAATACATATAAGTTGATAGGCAGAACATATAACTGTGAATTATCAAAAGTTGGAAGTTTAACGGTCTTCAGTTCGATCTCTCAACAAAACACTAATGTGAATTTTTGAAGAGTATAGCACCTTTTGGTTTTCAACAGTTCCTTTAAATGACGTGAAGTTGTGGTAAAACCAACCTTGAAACCGGTCATTCAAAAAGTATCAACAAGTATAATAAACAAAATTCTATGAGCTGTGATCAAAATTTGACCTCGGACTTACAAATATTGATCTACCTTTGTTAAACACTTTAAACAGAGTGTGTATGTGTGTGTGGGTAAACAGTTGTAAAACATTTCTTAACGTTCCCATAAGAAGATATGGACAGTCGAGAATTTTGACCAAGTATTAATAATTAGTGATACATATCCATTTTTATTTATTAATAAGGATTTCCTATGCATCAGCTAACATCACGCCTTCATGTCCGTTCAAACTGTTAGTATCTAGAATTTTATGATTAGACGTATTTTCAAAATTATGGTGTTTAGGATTAGTGTTTAGTAGAAGCACCCTGTCGGACTTATTGCTTTGCCAAATATTTTAGAACTATTCTGTCAAATCTTGACGACAGTTCATTTGAATTATTTTGCTACCGAACTTATGTTTCTCCTAGTTCTATCAATTACTCCTTGTCATCGTATTGTTCAGGTTGTAAAGAGTTGAGAAGAATCCTTGAAATAACAAAAGATGAGCTCATACTATCCTCGTACATTGTAGTTCTTCCTTTGTTCAAGAACTTCCATTTGTTCTAATTGACGCATACTTAAGTCTGATGAATCAAAAATCCATTTTTATCACAATTAAAGAGTTATAAAGTTTTCACTATTAAATTTAAGAAAAGCTGAAATTACAATGGTTAGAAATAATTGTAATTTCAAGTAGTTTGCAGATGATGAGAACCTGTGAAATACAATATCATTTTATACTGCAAATCTGGTCTTTCTTTCTCTATCGAAACTTATGGTTTTTCATTATCATAATCATTATTTTCTCCTAACCAAGTAAAGAAAACACTAATATGCTTATACAACACACTCACATAATGGTTGTTGTAAGACGGGCTATCTGACACATTCCAAGTAGATGTAGATGTGAAACTGAAAGCAGGATTAGTAATTTTATTCTGACCACCCGTAAGAGATGAAGCATTATGAGATTCAGATTTTGGAATCCTATTGAATTCTAGGAAACCATTATTTTGATTAATTTCAGAGTAGCATGGATTTTTTCGAACTTTATTCAACTTTGCTTCTTCCTGAGCACGAACAAGTGATTCATATAAGTATTGTGTACGTTGAAATTCTTCCACCTGAAATTCATTTAAAAATTTGCAATCACTAAATGAAAATAAATCAAGCTTACTTATTAATGAATAAAATTCAGATACTAATTCATCTAATTCCTGTATACTTCTTAAAATGTCTATACAGGATGATGAAAACCATAACACTAGGCGATAGGCAGTTATCATTTATAGTTAAATCATTCATCCTATTCACCTTTGAAATTTTATCTTATACACCATGTAGGCACGGAAACATCTCTAGCTCACTTTGGTACGAGCTTCTACCCAGTTAGGAAATAGCTATTGTTCTACCAATTTTTATTGGGAATTTACGCAGAAGAAAATACTGACGATTAGCTAACTAAATACAGAATTTTCAATTTATTGGTCCATCTTAGACTTAAAGTCAAGTAAAATTGATCAGACTAACACATACACTTTTACAATTTTCTTAATTAAGAACAAAGCCGTTATCTGAGCAGACGACTGGTGAGATATTGTGCTCTAGGTAAGTATTAAATTTTATATTCATCCGTTTACACTCAATTACAATGAATTTCCAGTTAAACACAATCTTACTCCAGTACAACGGATTCAGCTATCCGTGGAATATATGGTAGTGTAATGCAGAAAATAATCAACTAATAAATGAAAAAAACAACAGCTCCTACATCTTTCGCTTTTTTTCGAGCATTTTCCAACTCAGCCATCTGTTGTAGACGAAGACGCTCACGAGCAATACGCTCTTCTTCCATCTTTTCTTCCATTATGAGTCTTGCCTTTTCTTCTTCTTTCTGACGACGTCTTTCTTCAATCTGTTTCAAATTTATCAACTAGAAATACATGGAAAATGGAAAAGAATGATCAAACAAAATCATTCATTTTTGCAATGCCAAAGTATATATATGAACTAGTCACTAATAATCTCTATAATACAGTAGAGTACAACGATATTGATCGTTCTGAGATCTTTTCAAATCATTACAATCATAGGAAGCTTTAAAATGATAAAGCTCCATCGACTAGCAAAAAAAGTAGACGGTAGCACATCGAAGTAGGAAATCCTATAAATCAGACTTGCATTCAGTGGGAGTGTCTACTATCCTCTACATGTCTACTATGTGTCAACATACATGTCTACTATCATCCTAATCTGCATAACTAAACAGTTAAACTGTGATCTGAAGACATAGGTGCAGACTATAAGCAGGGGGTTCAAATTTGTGTTATTTATTTTGTCCCATGCAAGGAGGTTGAAACATAACATCAAGATTGATAAAAGTGGAGTATTGCTTAGAACACAGATCCACATATATTTAAGGATTTAAATAATAACAACCGGCTAATACTAAAAAATGAAAGTGTTTTCCATGTTGGAACCATGTGACATAGCACCTTAAAATATACCCAATTATCGGCTTTGGACTGATGAAACACTTGACAGTATATAGATCTTACTGCAGTATGTAAGTGCTGTCTTCTTGCTGTTACCTGTGCCAAGTTGCAGAACAGCTAAACATCAGGTCACAAAATAATGCATAGCAAAAGAAAACACTGTGAAGATGTTAGTACATATCACTTACTGTAGTCGGAGTTTCATGTGAAATCTATCCCCATGAATACGTAATTATTAACTTGATACCAAGACCATTAAAGTCCAAAGACTGTTGAGTTCGGCTAAAATTAACTAATTGAATGAGAATGTGGTGCAATCCTGTACATAGTGATAATTTGACCACAACAAAGTATTCGAACTAACCCAAGCCTTAAAGAATCATGGGTAGCAAGAGTGCATAACCGCAGTCCACTGAAATGGAACTTGGCAACCAAGTATTATCCCATGCGCCTATCACACTCTGAAGGTTCTACACGATAAACAGTTGTTCAAACACAAACTAAAGTTTTATCAAGATAATAATGATGCGTTATGCAATGCCTAAATGGTGATGGAGCTAAACTAACTTTTCCCAATAATGATTTTTTTTCTTAACCATTTATTCCCATTAAAGATTTAAAAGCTTCTCGAATTTAGGATGGTTTCACAAGAAATAATGAACACATGGGTTTACAAATGGTGAAGATGCAGAACACTTGTAAATGGCAAACTGAGTTTTACAAGTACAAACTTAAGAAGCGCACATTTTAGAAACCAGAATAAATAGCACAAATATGCAAATAAAATATCAATTTTATAACTTACTCTAGTTTCGTGAGCAAGTTTTGCTCGTTCGGCAGCCTCTATAGAATCATTGTATATTTGTTGAGTAAAGCCACGTACACGATTAAAGCTCAGTTTGCTGGACTGATTCTTTGCTCCATGGGATAATGTGAAATCGGTGTTTACTGTCGAGTCAGGTAACGAAAAGTCCGATGACAAGAAGTGACTTGCTGAAGGGTGTGAAACTAATGCATGGTTGCGCACATTGCTGTTTCAAACACAAATACATAAGAATATACAAAATAACTTAAAAAATGCACGTACTTTTGTGCAAATGAAGACGCAGTCAAAAAACAAACAACGTATTTTTTGAACTACAGTATTGAATATAAAAATAAACTTAAGTATACTAAATGGCATACAACTAATAAAATGAGAATTCAATGAGTATCAAATGAACCACTAGAAAGCAATCGTGAGGTGCATTGCACAGCTGTTACCAAAAAGGTGGATTAATTGCTTGGATTGACTGAGACAAGCCACTACGCTAAACACGTCAAGCTCTTTCTGACGTTTTGTAGCCAAAAGTTTAAGAAGTAGCAGGAGATGAGGATGGGGAAACTAGGCACAGGGAAAATTCAAAACTTTACTGACTCTTATATATATATATATATATATATATATATATATATATATATATATATATATAAGAACTATTTTAAACAACCCTAAGGGCATTCACGAAGTCTAGAAATAAAGCCTTAGGGCTGCGTTGGGTTATGGACACTAGTTGGATTAACGTACGAGCCACAACCATCAGGAAAAACAGTAAACTTGCGTATTATCACTATCTCAAAATTGTTAAATGATAGTGTGATATACTAAATAAGATGATATTGACTAAAGAAACAATTTTAGTAGTCATCTAAAAGCCAAAGAAAACATATTTGTGACAGCATAATTCAAAACTGTTGTGTGTTTCTTGACCGGTTTAACGAATGAGGAAGTGGTGCTCGATCAACAAGTTATAATTACAATTATTTCATTGACTTTTAATTGTATATACAGGTCAGTGTTTCAATTTTTAACCATCGTTTTGAACAGTAATATTAGGTATGTGAAAATTTTAGTAATCGAAAAACATTACTGATTTCAGAAGGAATTATGTTCAAATAATATACAGAAAAAAATCTCCTTAGTGACCTACCCTAGTCTATTCGACCCATCAACACACGAATGAGTGTCAACATGTTGCAGATCATTTGCGAGAGATTCTTCCTGATGTTTATCGTCTACACCTTTCCTCTGCGTCTGTTGTATACGTTTCTCCCGCTTAAGTTGCTGTTCTTTTAGCTGTTCGTCTAATGCAGCTTTCCATTGTCGACGATTTTCTTCCTAAAAATTAAAATTAAGGCTCACAACAAGTAAATATACATTTCTGATAGTGCCGAAAATTCAACAGACAAAAGATGCGTAACATTTAGGAAATGAGAGGAGGAAAAAGTGATTTGAATTTTATGAACATGTCATTTACATCACACTTGCACTTTTCAAGGTTGAATCAAGAGGGATTCCGCACTATAAGAAAAGCTGAGTTTTACTGCCTAATTCCAGTACAATAGAATCATATGCATTAATATGACACATTATGTCTACTTAGCAAACTGATTTTCGACATATGCTTACGGAATGAGAGAAAAATGCACCTGTGTGTGATAAACCGTTACCTGGTAATTTAATGTAGAATAGATCCTAGAAACTGATGTCTGGAATGAACGAAAAAAGAGAAGTTGCACAATCAGAAATGTTCAGATTAACTGGTGAATAACAGCCTGGAAATTTTGTAGTCAGTGAGTAAACAACACGAATGAGTAAGGGTAGAGTTCTTTTAAAAAGTGTATCACATAAAGGTGACATACTTTGAAACACTACGAAAAAGGTGGTTACAATTAGATACTGAAATGCACAGAAAAGATAAGGAGAGGAGAATTAATGTGTATAATATGGATGAAATAACTATTACCAGTGTGATACCTGATACCACAAATTATAGTGAAAAGAGGCTGCAGTGCTAAAACAACGGCGAGAGAGACGATAATTAACTGCAGATTATAAAAATCCTAACATTAAGATGCATCTGAATTATTCACACTGATAATCAATCAATGAATAAAATCTACGTGACGATATTGCTAGCCAATATACCTCTAAGTCAAACAAGTTTATAAGAAATCATCCTCCAGGATAAACAGACGAAGCATACGGTAGTTATCAGTGAAGTCAAAATAGAAACAACCTAATGTAGGTAAAAATACGGAAGTCAATTTAGACAGACAACCAGTAGAAGTTAGCCTGCTTTGTGCGATGATGCATAAACATGAAACCTAGTGCCTGTCATGTTTTACATAACTGGAAGTGAAAACAAAGCTAGTACACACGACTAATGCCAACGGGTTATTACTTGTTTCTGCACAAGCCTACAAACTTTAGATCCAAAGATTATTAAAAGCTTAAATGTGACTACTGAAACAAAAAATAACATGTTGGTAATCAAAAAACCTGAGCGCACCTGTTTTAGCAAATGGGCGTCTTGTCCGGAACCAAATGCCATAGGAGTAAGAGCTGGAGGGACGGTGGAAACAACACTTGTTTGACTACCATTAGATAAAGTGCCATTAATCTTAGATTTCTCTGTGGTTTCAGCATCACGTCTGTCCGAAGATAAAGAGGCTTCATTGTTTGATTGAATATATAAGTCCTTCTGTCTCGACAAATCTGAGTCAGTTACAGGGTTGGTTAGTAGTTTGTCTGTAGAGTCATGGGTTGCAGTCACTGCAAATTCAGCTGAAGTTAAGATAACAAATATTTTAAAAACATCACAAGACAAACAATGAAGACGTGATACGAACTGTATGATACTTACCTTTTTCCCTTAGCCGGTGGAAGTTTTCATCTGATATTGGCATATCGTCCCCTGTTGGAACAGACTTTTTTAAGTCTAAAGAAATATTTGAAGAGTTTATAGAATTCAAGTTCTTAGAATATATGAGGCAAATTACTCATGTACCTGGTGGACTGAATTCTTCGAAACTATAAAAAAATTAGTGAAATTAGCATCAATGATTACCATTATCTTCGAGCTTTGATTTTGCATCTAGATATACTGAGGTGAGAACTTTTAGAAGGGATGCGTCTGTGAGTTTATCGCGGTTTAGCTCGATAACCTTCCTCATAACAGAATCAATAATCGCCTCGCTGTCAAGTGATTTGTTCGCAATATTCTAAACATGAGAATGTACGGGAGTCAGATGAATCTTACTGCTTCTACGCTGGATTCATTTACAAGACTTTTTTGCCCTGCTACATTTTGATCTACCAAATTTAATTACGGAAAGACACAGCATACAGTCAAAGTAGCTCCGAATCTCCTTCAATTTGTTTTGAGAAATTGTCGAAACAACATTAGAGGGCATTTTTGACATTTGAGCTACTTGCTTGTCATTTCGTCTTTTGGTATCAATAACAGTTTTTTTAGAACCCGTTTTTGAGTTTGACTTCATTCTAACCGCTAAGATAAATCTCACCGAAGCGGAAAAAATAAACCAAAATGACCACCCTCACACTACAAATCATATCGCCAACTTCACATATTGCTCCTGAAAGTAAACACTACTGATCGATTCCAACAAACCAATGTCAAATTCAAACCATGGGGGGAAATGCAGCTGTTACACATCATATTCACATGTTTCCTCATTACATTCTATTGAGGAACCTTCATGTGATGTGCAGCCTGCTTTTCACAACCTAGTGACAACTATATCATATTTTCGACCTCCCTCCTTGGTGTTGAGTAATCTGTCGGTTCCTTAATTGTAAGTTCATAGCTACACACTTTTAGTGGTTGACTTTCAACATATACCACACAAATGCTATATAGAAGTTCTTAAGTTTGATTTATCACATACTGCAACGCATTTGACAATATGTTTCTCAGAGGTAAAAAGACAGTTTACGACAATGCACTATTAGAGGGACCAATGCGTGTTTTTTGGATTGCATTACTTTCAGTCGAAATTTAGTAAAGTCAGAAATCATCGTAAGGATTCGGTTTGCGAATCAAGGAGGTTATATAAATCTCGGCTGGTCAGGAACTAATACAGCTATTCCATAAATCTTTTCGCTCCTTCTTTATGTTCTAGTCTGTGAAGGTTTGTCCAGTTGGCACACTCAAGTTTCCTGTCAGAAGGTTACTTATGTTATCATTAGCTACCTGAGTGGAACACAGGGTTTCAACATAACACCTCCATTTTGTACTTCTTTCTTCAGTCCTCTATATTTGGCGCTACTGCTTCCCATGAGATTTCTGCTGGTTACACGATCTCCGCCCGGTCACCGTAGCACGTACGCCCAACTCTCCGTTCCCCATACGGGTCCACTAGTGGCGTACTATATCATTCATCGGCCTCCTCAGCTAGCGCACGTATATTATCTGATCTAGGAATGAGATCAATACGCATTGAGAAAGCAACCTTCATAACGTTGCATCTAGAGCTCAACCAGACTGGGTCTATTGGCCTTGGTAACACCATTTATAAGTGCTATCTTAATTGCCCGAGAATATGACCAAATTGTTGTTGTAGCTGCTGAATATGGCACTCAGCTAATCTTAACCTTCAGATGGAATCCTCAATCCTGTCCTCAAAACCCAGTTCAGCAATTTGGTAGGGAACCACCGTCCCACTGCTATAACTGCCACTGTCCCAAAACAGCTAGGAACGACAACCTGTCATGCCTTTGCTTAGTATTTGAAGAACAAAAAAATTTTCAGAAAGGAAGAGCATGGTCTTGAGACAAGTTACCATTTCTCGAATAACGCTTTTTACAGAAAATCTGCGTAAATAAACCTTACGCTAATAGATAAGTGTGTTAATAGCTGATAAAGTTCCTCGCCCAGGTCTGCCCGTAAATCTAAGAAGATGGATTGCTACAATGTCGTTACGATTATGTGCACTGAGATTACGTACAAGGAAACCTTAATTAAGTCGAAGCCGATGTGTTTAATGAAATAAACAACATGAAATTATTTTCGTTGAAGAGCCTGAATAGAACCATAACAAAAATGTAAGCAGAGTAATGTAACTTCATTTTATTTTTTAAACTGAATACGATGTGGAATAATTCTAATATCAATATACATGCATTCACATTTTCACTTATTTATCTTAAAATTGGAGGCTAAAATTGTCGCGTAGTTAAACAGCAAGATCAGCAGAGTCTGTTGGTGGTCTTTTATTACAAACAAATGTTTACCAGAATATTCTAGAGTTGAAAATGAATGCTGCGAACTGAATAGAATTATAGAATCTACCAAAAACACAGAATGGCTTAACAATTCACATGAAGAAAGGCTAAAAGTAATCGAGATAAGAGTACAGAAAAAGGTAAAATGAAAAGCATTCCATGAATGGTGATTTTTCGCTAAACAGGTTGCAGACCCGGTACGTTCGAATCAGGTGTGTTTTCGTTTATATTCATTTATTGCTTACTGTTGATTGATCTTTAATCACGATAAGCCGAAATTCTAAAAAGAGTGTTCGTGTGAACACCAATAATTTAGAAAATAGCACCAGCTCGTCTAATAACACATTACCACCCCTTATTATTAGTAGTTCACCCAACATAAAAGACTCGAACATAACTCTGACCCCTGTAATACAGGTGGAAGATGTTCTGTCTGAAAAGGCAGAGCTCTCTTACTTAACATGCATAAATAAACAGATGCAGCTACAGATAGATGAATTAAAAACGAAATTAAGTTCACTAGAATGTATACCCGAAACTATCTCATTTATGAAAAAGGAACTGCAGGATCCTACAATCCTAAAGCTTTTTAATATGACTTCTAGAATGACGCCTACTGACTCAAAAAATGCAAAGGAGTTAGAAAACGCCATTGACTTTATATCCAGCGAAGTTGTTAAAAGGCTGGCTTCGAAACAAAACGCTATAGTGTATAATGTACCAGATAGCGAGCCCATAAAGTCGGTCCAGCACTCATTGCTGAAGGCTGCAAATCTCTTGAGTCCACCTTGTCAGTGCATTCGCCTAAATAAAAAAGACCTACAGCATCCATGTCCCATACTCTTTAGGTTCGACAGCTACATAATAGCTGAACGATTCAAGAAGGCCGAATATCTTCTGGCTACTGCCACTAAATTCAAGACTATTAAAGTAGTCTCGGATAAAAACCTAACCAAAGGCAAGCAACCAAGAACTCCTTCGATACAAAGTTGACCACACTGAGAAATACACCTGGTATCAGTGCTAAAGTGTCGACGGACACTGAAGCACAGCAAGTTACGTGTATAGTGTTGGGAGAAAAAACGGCAAGTAAAAGCGACTCGAAACTCAGTAAGAGCAGTGTCACTGGGTGCAATCTTAAAGTACATGAGAGCACATCTGGAAAACCTGCTGACATACATGAGGTTGACATTGACGCACAAACTATGGCTGACCAGAAACCACTGGCAGACCACACTCAATCTGGATGCAAGCCCGAGAGTCCCGAAGTAGAAACTGCAAGAAAGACCACAAAGCCTAGAGTCCCACTCCAGACTTCGACATACCTCCCTCTTAATAAGTCTAATCATCAACATGTCAGTCTAAAAAGACAATGCATGGGTAACAAAGCATATTCCCAAAAAAGTCATCCATCATGTGAGTAAGAATATCCCTTCCCGAACTAGGAGTAATATGTCCAGCAACGCACATAACTTGGGAATGCAACGTAGAATGGATCCTCAGGATATATGGAGCACTAAACGGGACTCATATAGGCACCATATTAATAAATATTCTCGTCCAAACTCTCACACTATCTATGTTAAACCTCATCAACATAATGAGTATATATCGACACTTGACCCTCTCAATAACTTCACTCACACATGTGATGTGAGCCAATATGCATACGACTATGAAAGACCCATGAGGTACAACTACCAAGGTAATCTTAATACAGGGTACCTAGGTCAAGCAAACTATATATCACCAGTAAATGAACGCAGATGCCCACCAATGGATGCTAAAAGTCAAAATATGCAATAGGATTATTTTTGGATGCAGCAAACAATAGCCCCACTCGCTGCACAATTCATCCAGGAAATAGTACACACACTGACTCTGTCTCACCTTAGAGCCCCTCCAAACATAACGTAGGGATAGTAACAAGTAACCATGTTAACCTCTCCTCCAATAACTCTGGTTTACTAACGATTATGCTCCTGAATGCTAGATCTCTCCTTAATAAAATAACATCGCTTCGCTGCCTGGCATACATAGAACGGCCAACACTATTAATGGTGACTGAAACCTGGCTTACTACTGATATACCTGACTCAAAGCTAGTAATAGACAACTACGACATCTATAGGAACGATAGAGTTGACAAAAGAGGAGGCGGCTGCTTAATATATGCCTCTAAATCCACTAACTGCAATACTTTTAATAACCCAACTACTGACAAACTCCCTGAATCTAAGTGGATAAGCATCCACACAAACGAAAATAAAATTCTCGTGGGATGTATATACAGACCCCCTAATAGCCCTAAAATGACTGATATAACTATTGGAGAAATACTAGAGCATGTAGCTACGCTGGACTTTGACTACAAAGTAGTCTGTGGCGATTTCAACTTACCTAGAGTAAACTGGGATACTTGTACAGGAACTAGAATCCATGACGAGCTACTACAAGCTATAGACGTAGGCGGATGGAAGCAGTGCGTACGCCTCCCTACAAGAAGTGAAAACACCCTTGACTTAAACCTTTGTCATGAAATAGAGCCCATCTCGATAGAGGTAGGAAATAAACTTGATAACAGTGATCACAACATATTGTACTGCACGCTACCCCTCCGACTAACAACTAAATACACACGTAAAAATTCCCCGGTGCACTATCACTGTAGGGACCATAAGAATGCCGATTGGGAATTCCTATCAGATCTGTTGAGAAGTTCTGACTGGGAAGAATACTTCATCAACAATAACTTAGAAGTATCACTTGAGACTTTCTACAAAACAATTGGCTCAGCAAGAGACACAATCGCACCCCTAAAATCTGCTCTTAAGACACCAACTCCATTTATAGACCGCAAAACGCGACTAAAACTAAAGAAATTGAAAAGGAAATACCATGTATTTAAGGAATTTAATGCGTTAAACTAAATGCATGAAACTCTTAAACTGCTTGAAGATAAACACAAAATGATGTCACAACTTGAAGAAAATAAAGCGCTTGTGAGTAACTCCAAAACTCAGGAACTTTGTAGGATATTGCAGAAACGTCTAAAAAGCAGTAAAGACAATACTGTAAGCAGCTTGGAACATATGGGTATAATATACAATGATCCCCAGGTTATAAGTGAACTCCTCAGTGAGTGGTTTTGCAGTGACGCCAGAGTGCACACGACCCAAAATTTCCAAATGTTCTGCAAAAGTAACCACAAATTAGGCGAAATATACTTTAATATACAAAATATAGACTCAGCGAT